ACGCCACCTCTCTCCCCTCTCTCCGCCTCTCGCACCTCTCTCCCCTCTCGTCCCTTCGCCCTCTCTCCCCCTGCGCCTCTTTCTCTCGCACCTGCTCCTTTCTTCTCTCCCCTCTCTCTTTCTCTCTCTCTCTCTCCTCTCTCTCCCTCTCTCGTCCCCTCTCTCTCTCCCCTCTCTCCCCTACTGCTCTTATCCCTCTCGCCTTCTCTCCCTTCTCTCCCCTCTCTTCCCTCTCTCTCTCCCTCTCTCTCTCTCCCCCCCCTCTCTCTCTCCCCTCTCTCTCTCTCCTCTCTCTCCTCTCTGTTTCTCTAAGTCGTAATAGTTTATAACTGAAGGACGGCTTGAACAATTTTAAATATCTCTGATTTGTTGGATTCTTCTCCACCCCGAATAGCAAAATAACTATTAAAATATCAAAAAAATTCACTAGACGGGGCTGTAGAACAAAACTTAATATTCATATCCAGTGCTACTCACAACACACTTGGCAAGATTTTTTGACTCTATATCATTAAATACCTCTTAAACAAAGTGTTTTAGGGGATTAAAAACTAAAATTTTGAAACCAAAGCCTCAAAGTATATTCTAGACAGACCCTGCCAAAATAGTCGATCAATACGTCTTTTTGAGAGGAATCAAACGTGGTCAGCTCCATAGGTGTCATTTTGAAATTTCACTCCTAGGCGTTTCTCAGTGAAGAACTGATATTTGCTTCTTGAGTAATGGCTGCTACTTGCTTTTCCCGATTTAACATCCTGAGGTATAAGAGGTGCGCATCCTCAGAGAGGGAAATTAGGGAAATTTCTCGCTAAATTTTTCAGTAATTATTACTATTAACTTGTCACGAGACTTTCAAGCAAAATTATCTTTAAAATGAATAAAATGGTATTGCTGCATGATCTCAGTGTAGCCTGGGACATTTTGCAAAATCTGTAATACGTAATTGTAAATCTGTAAATATATTCGATGAAAACATTTTTCCCCTCCCCAAATTCCTCTCTGGATCTCTGTGCTCCTGGGTATAACCACAACTCATGATGTTCAGAGTCTTTGATGGTGATTTTCAATGACATATTGTATTTTGAGGTACCCCTTCCTGAAATATGTGAGGGGCATTAGATAGTTTTCTACTTATGTATGAAATTATGTAGATAGATTGAAAGTGCTACTATTTCTTTTCAATATAATTTCCTTCCAGTTCAATACACTTCCTTCTCTTTTCAGTTAAAGAGGATATGGCAGAAAAATTAAAATTCTGTTCCTGTCTTTCAAAAAAACATATTTTGTTTACAGCACTTTCCACTTGTTCTTTGAGCACAAATCGGTATCCGTACAAGTGTTATGAGATTTTAGAACAGAAAGTAGTCAGTTGAGCTGGGTAGGCTAAATCTGGACTCCGAGGTAGGTGGTTTAATTTTTCGAAGCCACGGTCCTTAATTGCCATTTATTACACAGGGCGTTTCATGAAAAGCACATTTTAGACTGCGTTCTATGACTTCTCCTTCATGGCATTCTCCAGCATTTGTTTCCTTGTTTTCCATGCACTATTCATGCAGAATGCCTTGCAGATCATAAGAAACGATGTAATTTTACTTTCTCATCCGTTCCTCATACGAAGAGAAAATATTGTAATTGTACACTGGAAAACGGCAAAATTACGACAAAAACTTTTATTTATCAGACTAGTAGGTAAATGTATAACCTCTTTTCACAGGCCAATCTAACTCTGGATGACCTTGAGAGCGGAAGTATCAACGGAGCTGGATCGTCTGGAGATGAACCCAAAGTTAACAAAGAAGTGTTCAATAGACATCGCCAATTTAGTTCACAATCCTCCCAAGAGTTTGCGTTGCTGACAGAGGCCTCCCGAGCAGAAGTCCTGGAGAAGATTGGTGAACAGAAATTTGAAGAGGTGGTGTTCAAACCTAAGAAGAAGAAGAAAAACAAGAAAATGTTGAAGAACAAGCACTTTGTCTCGAGTAAGCTCTGTTAAAAGCGTATGGCAGGTGTTAAATGATGTCGTAGGCTTCCGCGGCCAGAGTCATGATCTGAGCTGTCTGGGTGACGCCGCTTCGATGCCTGAAGTGCTGACGGACCTATCGCCTCTTCAGTGGTTCGCAGTACAGCCCTGAAGAGGACCGCGATATGTTGGGTGAAACGTCGGCACCTCAGGCATTGACACAGCGTCACCTGGACAGCCCAGATCACATGGTAGGTATGGCAGCCCAGATCGTATATTATCTAAAACATTTTAAATTTCCAAATTTCCAATACCATAACCGGTATTTAATAACACTATTTCATGAATGAAATTGAGTTCAGAAAGTGTCTGGATGTGTCGAATATTAATTATTTTGTATTTACATTCCAAGTGTGCACTACTGTGCTTCTAAAGATTGATATATCGCACCTTGTGATTGGTCAGTAGGGAGGAGGTGGTGAGCATGTGCATTTGATTTATTGTTTGTGGAGAAACTTTCTGTTTCTGATTCTTTAAATTTTTTCATGGTGTTGTTACACTTCTCGTTAATTTTCAAGAATTTTAAAGCCCATACTAAACTACTGATGAAATGAAATTGGTGGGTGGATTTTTTGTTTGATTTGGATAGGTGTTTTTTTTTTTTTACCGGTCGTTTTCATTCAGTGTTATGTGCAGTAAGTGTTGTTCTTGTACATTTGTAGTAGGTTTGCCTGATAATACAGTAGCATAGACATGCAGAAGTCTAAACCTAGCACAGGCCTAAAACAAGGAACCAACTATATTTCTGGGTCTCGGTAACCCTCATTTCCATCAAAACAAAATTTATTGCAAGATTAATTAAAAAAGAAAAATGAAATTATAACCTAAGTGATACAATTAATATTGTTAATTAATTTCCAAAATTGTCAGCTTAAAAAAAAGAGGGAAAATAAGGAATTGGTCATGTTTAAGATTATAAATATTTATGTCATTGGATTACGAGACTGTAGATGATAATTCACTTTCTGCAATTGTAAACACAGTACAGTAAAGTTTCACTTATACATTCTTCAAAATTGAATAAGTGAGAAAAATGCTTAACTAAAATTGAATATTAGGAGCAAATTAAAAACTTGATATTTTAACATTAACATTTTATTAGAAAAGAATTTACCAAAAAAGAAGAATTCAAAATTCAGATTAAAAAATTATTAATGAAAAAAGTCTGTTATCTTTAACATGTGATTAACATTTCAATTTGCCTTTAGGTTGCAGTAGTGCACAAACATATTCCATGATTAAGTATTAATCTTAAAATCCCTATAAATTTATCTCTTTAATCTTAAAATTAACTATAAATTTATGTACTATGTTTTTATTTCAAATACTTTATTTAACCCTTCGCACACCAAGCTCTAAATGTAATGCTGAATACTAAGCGTAGTGCATGTGCACCCCATTTGAATATTACGCAAGATTTCTTTGAAATGTGAAGTAACTCACTAAAATATGAACATTTTGATTATTTGGAGAAGTTAATTTTTAATGAAAGACAAATTTAATAGTATTAAGTAAATTTATTCTTATATTTCTCATTTATTACTCCAACACACATCATCAAAATACTTGAATTAAGGTTATTCATATTTTAGGCAACTGATGCATATTTTTATTGCTTTTATATGTAAATGTTCATTACACATAAATGACGAACACTTAATGCATATTGTTCTACTCTTTCTATCTTTTAAAAATTAATGAGGAATAAAAATTGATGTCTCAGAATACCAAGCGAGTTACAAATGTACCACAGTGCTAGTTTTTAAGTGGAAAACATAAAAAACACATTAAAACTATTATTCTTTTTAAGATGCAAATGTTAACTATTTCAAGTAGTTCACTAAGTATTTCAGACAAGAAAATTCAATATCACAAAATAAGAGAAATGTACACAACAAATAAAATAGTGAGATTACACAATTCAATACTTGTCTATTCTACTTGATTTGCAAAGGGTTAAATTAAATTATGTGATTGAAATTTTAAAAGGTCAAAAATATAGGTTTCTCGAAAATCAAATTTATCAACAGTCTCTAGTTTTCTTTCCACTGCAACTGAAATTGTTTAAAGTCTTTTGCCGGAAGCAGCTGGGTGGCCAACTTTGCCCCACCACCCCTCAGGCCTGCGTGATCTTGTCCCCATAGATAGGCCAAGTCGAGCTTCTACATTACAAGTTTCATTAACGGGAAGTTGACTCAGAAGCCGAGCGGTTGCTCTTCTGGAGCGCTCTGGAGCATGCCAATTCCACTAAAATTATGGGCACTCAGCGAAGGTTGCCTCACACTTTACCTGTCCCCTCTATGGGAACATTTGAACATTGTACAGTCTTAAAGGGACTTTTATTATGAATATATAAGTATGAAAAACGTATAAACGTAAAATGCATTTCTGAAATAATTTAGCATGAGAATTTAGAATGCGGATTTAATCCAGGACATGACATAATGGAGACAATTTTTAATGCAGTTTTTAATAGGAAACAATGCTTGATGCACTGATGAAATCAGAAAAATAGTGCTCTAGGGTCCAGAGACTGCCAGTGTTTAATTTGGACATTCTTGCACGATTTGAACCTCTTAAAATAATATTTAATACTTCAGTAAGAAAAATAAATACTAAAACCTAAGAGAGAAAAGGGACAAACATCACAAAATTATTGTAACTGTAAATCTCCTCTTGTTGGGAAAACCATGAAAACACTGTCCATGTGGTGCAACATGGCATTTAATTCACGTTTCCTTGCTTTTGATACACTCATTGCACATTTTGTTTTGTTCTGTGAAGAATTGAACTGAAAAGCATTATCAAACCAAGAACCTACAGATATTGTATGTATGTACTGTTGTTTCTAGAGGGCCGTGTTTTCTTTCTGGAAAAATAAATCTCTCCAGCATTTTTCAGATAACCTTTGAAATTCCAATAGAACTGAAGAAACAGATTTTGCAGCTGCTCTTAATCCCCTGTGAATGAGCAAAGCACAATTCCACAGAAAATTAGGCCACCATTATTTCTTTGACTGTATATTGGATCTGAAAGTGGTGATCTTCTGATCCAATCCACCTAACCCACTCATATTCAATTTGTTCATTTTCACCAAATGTGGCTGAGAGATGTACTAACTTTTTTTATTAACTTATGTGACTTGTGGGTGTATTCCTTTTCAATTTGTAGGCATACAAAATTTGTAATACAAATGTTTTCAAATTCTTTCAGAGTTCCTGGATATGTAATAAAATCATACACAGTTTCATATGACTGGAGTCTTCTTAGTTTCCTTTCAATTTCTGCATGCTTTGGAAATAAAAAGTTTCTATCCTCCTTTAAAGCAGTTGATCGATGATCTAGGAAGTAGAATCTCTTGGAAGCAAAGCCTTCATCAACAATTTATTATTTGCTTCCAGGTGCAGAGTCGGGCTCGGATACCATAAGCGTCAACAGCGCTCGCTCCAACGTTTCAGACAGTGAGGACCCCTGGAGCAGCGAACGCCTGGATATGAGCAGCGATTGGAGTGGCATGTCTACTCGAGCGAGTTCCAGTGCAAATGAATGCGCATTGAAGCGTTCTTCATCAGAAGAGACACTGGTCAGGTTGGGAGACAGCATTATCAGTGAGCTAGGCACCCTCCCTGGGGATGATGCCGGTTCTTGCTCTGAACAGGGCACGCGACCGAGCGATCTCACAGTTGGTAATCATCCGGAGGAGAAAGTGAACACCGTGCCTCTGGGCATCCAGCCTGACTTGAGGAGCCCTGCTTCTATAGAGCGAGACGTTGCGGACAAGGAGAAGCTGCTTGCAGAAGTTTTGAAACTCGACACTCTGTGCCTTGAGAAAGGACCTAACTCAGACAAGGAGAGCAATACGTCAGGCGTCGATGCTATGAAGACGGATAAAAACATGGTTTCCTCTGAGACTTATGTGCTGTCTCCTGTGTCTGCTGTCGGTGTGTCGATGAGTGAAAAAATAGAATGTGATCTCCTTCGCCGGAACAGTGTGGAACTTAGTGATGACAATACAGAAAGTCAGGATGAGAAACTTGCCTCCATCGGCAGCACTTTGAGCTACGGACCACCCTCTGGGAGCAGTGCGCCTCCAAGCAATCACGCTTCTCTGGAAATTGCTCACCCCATGGACATTGACACTCTGGAAGAGGGATGCCAAGTGTCGGAGCGTGCAGACAACTGGATTCAGTACAGAACACCTGACAGCATTGTAGGATTTTGTGTGTGCGCCCACTATGTGTGTTGTGTAGATTCTAACAGTCGAATACACTACAGTGGTGTGAACGGGTTAAGCTTAAAGTGGCAAAAGGCTGATGATCGAGGGGAGCAAATTTCTGTTTCTGAAGATTCAAAAATCGTGTGGAAGCTGCACAAGGGCACTGCGTATGCTCTTGTGCTTCCGTCTTGTAAAGGGCCCTTTGGGGAGAAGTGGATTGTGGCAGCCCGAGACGTGCAGAGCGTAGCCATAGATGACACAGTGGCTTGGTATGTGACTCTGGACAGCCGTGTCTACATTCAAAAAGGGTTGACGCCTGAGAAGCCGGTCGGTGCTCCTGTGGCTGTGTGTTGTGTTTTTCCCACAGTCCGAGTCAGTTGCTTTGAAAGTGCTGTGTGGGTCCTCACAAGTACAGACAAAGTATTGTATCGAGAAGGGATATCTGTGGATGTCCCTGAAGGTACCACGTGGAAGGAAGTGTCTGTACCGTTTCCTGTAATGGATATGGTGCTTGGTTGCCAAGGAACCGGTTGGGTTGTGGATGAAAAGAATGTTATTCACTTCACAAAGGATTTCTCAGTCAAGTCTCCGCAGTGGTGGCAGGTGAAAAGCTTTACCAATACATTTTGTTAACGTACTTAATTTCTTGTAATAATGCATTATTCACTGGTTCTAGTAATGATTATATATTTCAGAAGCGATTGAGTAAACTGAGAAAATGAGGATGAAGATGGTGAGGCGAGGGGAAAGAGAACGGGAAGGATGTGAATTTAGGAGAAGACGATAAAATAGAGGAGAGGAGTAATGGAATTGGCGGAATGTGAAAATAAGATTATTATAGTATTTCGTCATAGCCCGAATAATTTGTCAAAGTTTAGCCAGTGATTCCATGGGGATGACAGTAGCAGGAGTAATACATAGCGCTAATATGAGAGAGGGGTGCAATATGAGTAAATCCGGAAACTTCATGTCATTTGTATCAAGTTACGTAATGTATAATGTAGGGGGTTCCTTTATGTTCGTAAAAGTTCTTTTTATGTGAAAGAAAGCATGAAATAGAGTCAAAAACATGTTACCATTAAGTGTGTATTCCCCATAGTTTTCACACAGTTGCATCATGAAAACATCACAAAACCTTTGAGCCATTGTATTGAAGCAAACCTCATTTATGATTTGTTTGAGCTTTTCATAATGACTAGCAGTCAAATAGCCGGCCAAAAAGGAAATCTTCACCAGATGTATTTTATTCAAGGTTTTGCTTAAAAATTAGTTTTGGGGTGTGTCTTAACTGCACCAATCCCTCACTGCTGCACCATAAATGAGTATTGTGATATTTCTCTTATTTGTGGAAAAAGCCATTGTAACCCTGTTGCTGCAAGTCAGTAATATTCTCTGAGTTTATCTCATTCGTGTTACATTGAGTCCTTCAACCACTTACTTCACAATAACTGGCAATGTTGTACCTGTAAAGATGATTGATGGTCAGCTGAGGTGAATGACTTTGGTCTAGAAAGTCAAAAATAAAAATATTTCTCTGGAGCTCAGAGGTTAATGTATATATGTCATTGCCAGAAACATTGTTCACCTGATGAAGTGAAGAAGATTACGGAGCTTTTCAAATTCATATAATTGCAGTTGTGACATAAATATCATCAAAGAAAGTGTGTTCGAAATATTCATATTGTGTTGTTTGCAAGAAATATTGTAACAAAGTAAACTACTTTTGTGAACTGTTCTGCTTAAGTTCATTTAGAATCCATAATTTCACAATCCAGAAATAGTTAAAATATGCACGTTGTTTATTCTAAAATTTCCCTTTCAGTTATTGATTCAGCCATCTTGTATTTTCAGTTTGCAGGGTGAGCTTTCTGTAAAGTCACTAGATAACAAAAAGGGAAGTTGAAACTTGTGTCAAACAGTAGATAGATATTGATGTATTGTGTGCTTGTACAAATGTAAAAGGACCTGCGTACTAAGGGTATGGTCACTATACCGTGTATCTCCAAATTTATGATTTAATTTGTACTCCATTGCTTTACTAGGGGGCAAATTTTAATAAATTGTAATTTTTTCTTTTCATTTTAGGACAATGCTGTTTAGTATAGAAATTCATTTTATGTTACGACAAGAAGACATAAACCATTTTATGGGACTTTTTTGCATTTTTCGTCAATTTTGACTAATAAGTAATTTTTTACCTTTTTACGTCACTTAAATGCATTATTCACAGATTTCATCATTTTAATGGTACTTGCTTCAAACAATATTTACGAGGTGCAACAAATGTTCACTATAGAATTCCTGAATAGCCTATTTGATTTCTTCCCTCATGATTGAAATATCAGCCATTGTGAGTACTATGTAATCTAAGGTTCCTGTGATACCTATCAGCACTATTTTCAGTTTGTCCGATTTTGCAATGAATGAAGGCAGAGATTTTCTTTTAAAGAACAGTCCAAACCGAAAGTTTGCGAAATCAGTTCACTTGAACAAAAGGAAGAAGCCTCAATTAAATCAGTAACATCCAAGAGCTTGAAGTGGTTTTGATCAAATTTTGTACGTCATTATTCTTTGTTTTTCGAGCATTTTTAACACTTTTAAGATCATTTTTGATAATTTTAAGTCATTAAACTCCTCCCTCTAATTATTGCAATAGGTGAGAATGTTGAATTAAATAATAGTTCCTATGAAAATAATAGGACATTTAAGGCAAAATCAATATTATTATTATTATTATTATTATTGTTGTTGTTGTTATTGTTATTGTTATTGTTATGAAGAAAAGGGAAAAATCTCTTTCTTTCTTCGTAGTGGTGTCAAGGACAATCAACGAAGGGCGATTGCACAGCTCTTTCCTGTAGTTAGTATTATCAGGTGACATTTTCCTCTTAAATAAGAAATGTCAGATTTCATCATTTACTAGAATACTTGACATTACAAGAAATAGTGAGGAATTCTCTTAATGAACAAGTCAAATATGCACTAATTGGCTTTTATTTCACAACCCCCTTTATTTAAAAGCTATTGATTATGCTTTCCTGACAAATAAAAATGTCATAAATATTATTTTACAGTCCTTAAATGCAAATTTTTTTATTACACTGATCTTTCTAATTGCTTTGTATACAAATACAATTAGTTTTCATTTGAAATGGGTGAATTGATACATTTTACTAATTTTGAACCATCTATTTATTGTAATAGGAAACTTATTGATTGCAATTTAAAATGGGGTTACCATATATCAAAGATTGTTAATAAATTAAGATATCTCATTTATATTTTTTATAAAATTACTAAATTATTTAATACAAAACAACTTCTAATGATATTTTATGCATTTTATTGGTCTATCGCTACGTGTGGTATAATTGCTTCGGGAGGAGTCTATGCTAATTCCTTGAAACCACTGAGTGATATTCAAAAACAAATTATTAAACTCATATTTGAAAAGGATTAAAAATACTCTTCAGAAATCTTATATAGAGAAAATAAAATAATTGATATTAGGAAATATTTTAATGTTGAAGTCTATCTTTGAGAATTTCTCTTATTTAACAAAATATCCATGAAGCAAAAGTGAAGGCCAATAAAAGAACTCTATATTTGCAACCTCCAGACGTTAAAAAGCTTACAATTTGCTTCTACATAATTTGAAAATCATGAATGTAAATAGTATATCAACTAAAAGTATGATAAAATACTGGTTGAGAAACTCCTCTGAGATTGTTCTGAACACCATTTTTGAGTAATGTCCTGTTTGCATTGAAATCCTTCATCTAAGTTACACTACACATATTGTAATTTATATTTTAGCTTTTATATATGTATTGTAAATAGAAAATATGTTAGATTTTTTGATTTTCTTTGACTTTTTTTTTTATTTGTGTTTCATCAAGTATAGTTTTATAAAGTTTCTTTCTTTTCTTTTATGTAACTAGTGCTAATGTATTTATCTTTATAAAAATGTTTCCTTTCTTTTCTATTTATATTTTCATTTCTTTACAAATGTACTACATTTTGCGATAAAATGTACATAATGCGATTTGCGAGTTTGCACACAGGCTTTAGCCTCATTGAGGTGCGGAGTATATGTATTGTATAACTGCAACCTGAATAAACTAACTCAACTCAACTTAATTGCTTGTTGCAGATTCTTATCAGTGATTATATATTTCAACCTACAACTCCTCTGCAACACTTTTGTACAAAATTAACAGACAATTATTTGAAGAACCTTCGTCAGTCATCAACTGTCATCATGGCTGCTGGAAGAAATGCTATGTGGATATCTGAGAAAATGGCAGACAAAATTCATATGAACAAAACTGAATTTACTGGTAAGTAATTTTGTCCTTTATTGTGAGATTGTAAACAAAAGGTAAAACAAATTGACAAAACTTCAAGTTGTATTATGTTCGAAATTGATCCTTTCAAAATGCAATTTATTTACCAAAAAGTTCATGAAAGAATGCACGTCGATATAAAACAAAAACAAATATTTTTTTGTTTTTTTCAAAGATTTTTTGTGAAAAATTTCTACACCTGAAGTCCTTTTAAGACCAAATACTTTTTTTTTTTTTTCATTATACTTTTCATTTTAATTGTGCTGACTTCTGTCCGGGAGTAGTCTAGCCAAAATGACAAAAATGGCTACCAGTAATTTCAGTAATTAATGTCAAAAGAAGATTCCATATCTCAAATACAGATTTTAAGAAAATTTTAGTTAAAATTTTTTAAATTCAGGTCAGGATAAGTCAAAGATATTTCCAATTTCCTTTACTATTTATTATGAAAACATAAGTATACAAAACAGCTTTTCTAAAATCATTTACTGAGAAATAATCCTTATTTTTGTCACTATACTTTTTCATTTTAATTGAGCTGACTTCTGCCAGGGTGTACTCGAGCTGAAATGAGTGCCAGTGAATAACATAAAACATTCTAAAATTTCATTGCAAGTCATCTGTAATGGTTTTTCTGGAGCATTTCCATATACGATTTGGTACTGGCCCACCATCTGGTAAATCAATTCAAATGCAGTGATGCAAATTTCAAGTGATGGACTCATTTGTAAGATTGGGTAGATCAAGAATTGATGTGCTAGTTATCACTAACTCCTGATAACACCAAATGTGATTTTTCTAAGGGGTTACACCAAGAAGTGAACTTTTGAACCACCATTTGCTACGACACTTGCTGAATTAAACTTGCTGTTATCTAAATTGCTTTCTACATTCTAGAGACAGTTTGTTAGGAACATATTACTTGTGTGAAAGATAATGAGTGAATCACACATTGAGCATTTGTAGTATTAAGAAAAAAATGTGTTGATACAAAATTGATACTTTTTGTTGATTATTAATAATTTGTTGTATAGTTTCAATCAGATATTGTTTTAGTACATTATTGTTTTTACCAGCATTTGTTTTGTTCTCCCAGTGCCCCTACTTTGTATATTGAAGGTAATTAAATGAGTATGCTCTGTTTTTTCCATCTAGTTCTACATATCCTATTTAGGTGTCCCAATTTAAAATTACAGACTGTACATAAACAGTGTTGTCTTTATTTTTTTACCCACAACCAATGACCGTGACCTCCTGATCTTGTCATAATTTGGCAACTACACGTTTGCCTCCAGTCAAGGTGAAACCACGGCCAGCAGCGGCCCAGGGGGAGGTCAGAAGCTGAAGCAACTTTCCTTTTCTGTGTTTTTACCTTTCAAGCCATAGGGTGGTCAGCTACACTGCCAGTTCTCGTTACTGGTCAGATCCAAGGCTAGAATTTTTTCACGCTGAGTGAGGCAGGGCAGGACAATGTAAGTTGGGGTAGGGTAGGTCATGAGCAGGGAAGACAAAGTGCCTATTTTTGTTGATTGTATCTTGTTTGGTTTAGACATCAGAACTATGATATTGCAAATGTACAGGGAAGTTATGACTGTTTTACCAATTTATTATCTGCAACATTACAATACTAGAACAAGAAGTATTTAATGAAAATGAGTTCAGAAAAAAATCAGAAAGATACCTTAAGAAACATTATATTGAAGCTTGTAGTGGTGGTTGGGGTTCTAGTTGTAGAGGTGGTGATGTTGTATAAGAAGGCACACAATATTTAAAAATATTAATAAATAATAAATTATTGACTTATTGGGAAGTGGCATTTTGAAAATTTTTCTTGAAACATTTCCTGACATCTTAAAAATGATTTAGTGCTGACATAAATTTCAGCCATTTGACTGTCAACATCATCAAAACAATTCTTCTCTTCTGAACCTGAGTTTTTACAAGCATGAATGAAATGAAAATGAATTGCTGCCCAAAGTCTCTGCTCAAGGTTTATACACTCTGCCCAAGGTTAAAATAATGTTTCCTCCAACCAAAACAGCTGCATTCCTTCGTCCTGAAATCTAAGGGCATCCAAATGCTAGCTGGTCACTAAAAGTAGAAGGATGTCAAAGGTTAGTTGACAAGAGACCATGACATCTACCTGAAGTTCCAAATACTGGTTGCAAGTTAAAAATGAAGTCCCCATTTGCACAGTAATTATTACAAAGAGAATAATACATTACATGTACATAGAATCTATCATCAAACACTCCAAGTTCTTATCCTTGCTAACGCTCTTTGTAACTATCATATTGTAATATCACTATTTGTAAATACATTTATATTGCATGCAAGTTTTGCTATTTGTAGGTCATCAGTGGAATCGAGTGAACTTGAAGAACTTAAATCCCAACTATAGGTGGCAGAGAATCACGGCCAGAGGAATGGCTCGCGACAAAGGCCAGTTGTGGTTGCTTTCGGAGGCTGGTGACTTCTTTTGCTACTATCCCACATCAGGAAACATTCATGTGAGTTTCAAATTTAAAAAAATATTTTTAACAAATATATTACAAATTGTCTTTCCTAACCTGCATCTATCTAATCTAATTTGGAATATCTCATGGTTATTCTGAAGTTGCAAAATGACTTGGTATAAGCTTTTTTAATTCCATTTGGATTAGTAATGATCTGATTTTTTAAATTGATTAATGATAAGCTAGAATCAGATGATTTGCACCCACAACTATTATGGAAAGTTCCTCCATGTTCCCAAGTGATCAAAATGATGAAAGAGTGAAGGATTACAAACCAAGCGTTTGATTGGTGAAGTACGTAAACCAAACAGAATATTCCAATATAGAGCAAGAGAAGATAAAGATAAATTCATAAGTGATATACATATCGAAGCAAAAAAATATAACCTAAATTTGAGACCTAAAGAAATGTTTCAGTTTATAAGAGTCTCGACAAGAGAATTCAAATATACAGTAGCAGCAGTTAAGAATAGTAATGGCAATATTCTAACTTCCAGGCAAAACATAATTTAAAGATAATTGAAATAAATGCACTACCAGTATGAAAGGGATTGCAATATCACATACACATTTCAGCAATAGAACAATGGTGCTGCCAAGGTAAGAATTAAAAAGTATTTAAAAGTATATGGCCTAAACCAATTCTGGAAAGGGAATTACCAGAAGAGCATGTTGCTTCAGAAGGGGCACAATCAGTGAGGAAACCTTCGGCAGAAAACAGAGAAGAGAATTCCAAAGAACGTACACTTAACTGTTTTTATGACTTTACAATGTAGATCATAATGTTATGCATTACCCTAATAAACATGGGCATGCCAGGATGTATAATAACTTTGTTAAGAGATTATACAGAAAGAGTCCAATTAGCTGAAGGAAAAAGTAAGAGTTATAGTTACCAAGGAAGTTAGACAAGAATACATCCTGCAGGTCTGTTTAATTTTAATGTACTAAATGTTATGAGGCTAGTGGAATTTGACCAAAAGAAAATTCAGCATATGAATTAAAGGATGGCAAAATGAACAATATTTGATATGCAAATGATGCTGTAAGAGAAAACATGGAAGTCCTAGAAAAGCTGAGATTGTGGCAGAAGAAAAAGCTGAAATCAGGTCTCACCCTGAAATTAAATGAAAACAGACCATCAGAGCAACAAAAGCACTGGAAGAGAGATACTGTGAGTGAGATGGTGAGGCACTAGAAACAACAAAGTAAAGTTTCTGGGAGGAGCAATGACAGAAGGTGGATGCTGCTCTAAAGAACTAAGAATTATTGCAGGAATGTCACTTGTGAGAAAGTATAAAAAAATTCACTAAAGGCAAAGAACAAAGCTGTATTAATATTTTTATACTTTTTTGTATTTTATATTAAAATAAACAATAGTATTCCCAATATTATGAAATGACTCTAAAAGATGGATTAAGATCTATAGATAAAAGGAAAATAAATTTGAAGAAAATATCTGAAAATGTTTTGGACTCAGAGGAGAGCAAATTCATCTCTATCTCAAAAAAGTGAAGCCTTGTTGATCATTGAAAGCCAGAGCTATTAGGCTAAAAGTAAGTGTCTAAAATTTCTTATGTTCTTAAATTTTATTGTGTAACTGTAAGCCTATCAAGCCTAAGCTATGTAATGAGGTCTAGATGAGAAGCATAATAGTTAGTGTTAAGGTAAAATTACAGTGAAACCTGTTCCGAAGGCCACTTTCATTAAGTGGTCACTGCCGTAAAAGGTAATTTTTTCGTGGAACTGCTTGATGCTTCCATAAGACGTGTATAAATTCACACTTTTGAGTGTCCAGTAGGCCAAGCAACCGGTGGAATTTTGTAATTATTGTGTAAGCTTAGTGTAGGTGAATTTTCATGTGTAATTTGACCTCTATTAAGCTATCATCTCTAGTGATTTTGACCCGAAATAGAATAAGAAACGGAAGAATGGTAGATGCAGGCCTATTGGTGATTCAACACCTTTCTTGACTTGATGCATTGTCAGATAAATTGGTTCAATGGCGTTGGAGTCTCTCTTCTGGCGAGGGTTTAACATCTGTTTAAGATAAAAACAAATGATTTTAATAAAAGTATCTATGAAATAACGCATTCGCATGTATATTGCATGCACAACACCAAACCGATGGTGGTACCATACTATTTTGTGGCACAGCCGTGTCCCCAGTAAATTACAAGTCTAATTTCTTTGTGAGTTCAGTTCAGCAGAGTCAGAAAGTGCATTTCATGAAAGTAAAGACATTCGACACTAGTGGGCATGTGATCCTCGAAAATGAGAAACGTTTCAGCTTGAAAATGTGCTTACATTTTCAAGTGCGATAGAACACAAATTTAATAAATTATAAAACACAAAGGACACATTTTTGTGAAGTTTTGGAACCTATGTGGAAAAGAAAAGATGTAAGTTATTCTAAACAAACATCTCGACACAGCTTTTTTTGTGAAAAATTAATAAAATCCCTGTAAGAAAAGATTTGCCTGTTTAATTAAGGGGAAGTGTGTTGTTTAAATTGTACTTTGTAGTCTAAGGTAAATTAAATGATTATACCAACAACATACTTTATTTTACAGTTACAATTAGCCCAATTTAATCTACTCTACACTTCCTTGACCTACATAACCTTGATTAAGCAACCACCTCTATTTACGGCCAATTTTTGCCAGAACCATTAGTGACTGCTTACGACACGTTTCAATGTATGACCCTATTTATTGTCTTGTATTTGCTTATGTAACAATATTAATTCTTCTCTTGTAGGCAATTCCTATTCCAGACTCCGTAATCTGCTTGTCAGCAACTCCACAGTCCATATGGTTGCTGTCAGGAGAGGGCCAAATTTATGTTCGGCAACTATATACAACTCTCATGTCAGATACCTGTTGGAAAAGAATAAACTTGACACAATTGGGTATGATTTCTCTGTGTCTTAGTTTTTTTATACCATAGTAAAACTTCCCAAGATGTTTTTTTGTAATGTGTAAACAATTTTTGGAAATGCACTTAAGCCCTTGTCAATTTAAGCATTTGTGCAATTTGTCTTTCCTAATGCCATTACTAAAAATTGCTTTCTGTAATTTATTTCATGTAGTTCATTTCTCACATTAGCTTAAGCCACTAATTATATTTCCTTTTCAAGACATAATCCTGCACTTGGTTGGTTTTACTTTTACAACTTCAGTATTTTTATCAATTTCTGAAGTTTATACCCTCTATAATTTGATTTAGTTGATACTTGTTTTCTTGCAAGTCTCACGTATAACTCAGGGCAGGTTGGCCACCCTTCTATGTTTCCACTTCCCTGGTCATGGTGAGTTGAAGACTTCCATTTGCAGGCCTTTCAGTGGAGCGAAATTGAATGTGCTTTGCAGCCTGTAGTGCATATTTTGTCTTTTTGCCGGGCAACACTTCATGAGTCGTTGAGCTTGTGATAATGAGATTACAATTGAACCGGTAGTATGTAAATGCTTTTTATTAAATGCTCTACTGAAGTTCATTGGGCAGGACGTTTCAGAATGTCAGAATGTAGAATTTGAGGTACCACAAATCTTTGGTTTGGGGTATTTGTAGGAGGTGAAAGTTTGTTTTGACATTCATGAAAAGTACAGAAATAAAACTGTTTGTGATTGAGATACCGCTATGTGAATATTCCACACTTTTATCGTTTTAAAAAGGTAAAAGGCTGAACACTGGATTATATTGTTGAAGGCCACCCCCTAAACTGTGTGTTAGAGCTTTATTACCCTGGTATTGTATGCGAGTAAGTATTCCAATTTTGCTAACATTGAGGTTTAATTTTGCAGAAAATAAAATTGTCACTTTAATTTTACTATAGAATATCATTTTGTCAGTATTTTTTCCATTAAATTTAACATAGATTTCAAGTTACTTTTCATACGGGACAGTCCTAGCTTTAACTCCAGAAGCACACCCAGAAGAGCTATATCTCTAAGAATGAAAAACAAGGTTCAAAAAGGGTCTCCTTTTGTAGAGTACTGCTACAGAAACATAAGTCAAGCTTCATCTATCCCCCTCCAGTTCCCCAATATGACCCCTCTCCCTCCCAAACTTGTGTCCCCACAGAACTCATTTTTCCATAGGGTCATGAAAACCTGTTTTAAGGACCTTGGACACATTGTTTCCGAGTTACACACAATTGGAATATGTGTGGCAGTAATGCGTTTCCTTTGTCACAATTGAGAAACTTGTTAATTTGTTGGATGTAGGTCTAGGGAACAATTCCCCATCCAATTCCCCATAGCGCGGTTGCACAGTTTTATAATGATGGTGACTTATAAATTCAAAACACCATCATCAATTCTTAGTATAGTATTTAGAGAAAAGCTAAGCTCTCTCTGCTAGAAACAAAAGAAAGTGCTCAGAGGAAGAGCGTCGTCCAAAACTTGCTCTGCCCTTTTGCATGGCTCAGCCGCATATATTGTGCATTGTAGCTGTCACGCATGTATCAAGCAATCCAAAATGCAGTGTCAGCACTAGACATGGGCAGACTGGGCAACTGATTGCCTGGGGCCCCATGAGGAGTCTTAATTAAAACTATAATTTATATTTCCAAAACTTTTTTCTTGCTACAACATTGTAATTTTTGTTATTTGTTGAAATAAAATAACTCATGTACTCTAGCTCCGGCACTGCCGAAAGGTTTTTTTAGTAAGGTTAATGATAAGACTTGCCCAAGATCTTTTTTCTTTGTAAGAGAACTGTGAAGGCCATACAGAGTTTTTTACAGGGAACATCCGTTTCACGCACATATCCTGTGGCAGTGACACACTCTGGGCCTGTAGCGATCAAGGGGATGTGTATATGACGATTGGATCTCCTCGTTCTATGGCAAGTCCCACCTTTGCACCAGCATGGATTCCAGCAGATGAGAAACCAGAATGCAAGTTAAGCTTTACAAAGGTATGGTGTGAAAGGAATATTCCAGAAGTGTATGTCGTAATGCAAAAGAAGAGGCAGATACCTTAGCGTAGAACAGGCACCATGTCCACTTAAAATAGCTGTTCTGTCTAGCCATAATTCAAAAGAACTTTGTGAAACGTAAAAGAAAATAGTTGCGTTACCTGATTTTCAAAGTCTTGGTGGTGTACATTACACAGATGGAAGAATACTATGTCTTAGGCAAAAAGCCCTTGTTATCATCAAGGACAAGACATGTTCCGTACCATACGTACTTTGGCCAGAAGTCTTCAACTGCATTAAACTCTTGGTTGGATTAACAATCGCTATGCAACAATATTTCTATTCTTTTCTGTTAAATAGTTGGTGTAGAATCCAAGCATCGCTAAAAAGCTTGATGTGTTTCCATGGCAGGTTTACGTAGGCCCCCAGTCCTTTATGGTGTGGGCCTTGGATAAGAAAAGGAGTGTGTTTGTGCGGCAGCAAATTCTCCCCGACTTCCCCTTGGGCAAAGGCTGGTCCCTGGTTTCAGGCATCGAAGCTGTTGATCTCACGGTGAGGTAAGTGACTTGCACCTGTGGTATGTCTGAAACCAATGAAAACTAAGACCTAGGCAGTAAAATCATATTAAGGATGATTACTTAAAATTTAGTTCAGAGTACTTATTTTTACTTACTACTTTGAAACTTTCAAGAAAATGTTTTCTCTATATATTGTAATGATTGTAGTGTAATATGCAGTATATATCATTTTAATGTTTCTAACAAAATTAACCTATTTTTGCTTGAACTATTGATTGTATTCATACTTCGTTAACTGGCCAATTCCATCAATCACTCGCATAGTTCAACAAAAGTGTTCAAACAATGAATGTGAAGGAAAGTGCAAGCCAATTCCTGATGTCACCAATGAGATTTCTCTGTAGATGTGATTGCATGCAAGAGTACAATTGTATGTTTGCACTTAATAGCCAATCCCTTTCCTGACTGTAAATAAATCTTGTCACTTATCCTGTGTGTGTGAATTGTGTAGCGAGTCTGCTGTATGGGCTTTGTCTGCGGGAGGTTCGGTGTACAGAAGATACGGCATCTCGCAAACAAACTGCATGGGAGACTACTGGAAGAAAATACCTGGTTCTGTTGACTTCCTTACTGGTGTGTATAGATATTATGTTTTCTTTTTTTCTCTTTAATTATCATCAAGAACATCTCAATAAGTTTCCATTACACCTTTATTTTTTATGAGGTGTAATATCTATTAAAAAAGATGGTAGTCTTAAAAAAATTATTTTCAGTATCCTAAAATATTAATTTTTACACATTGGGGGAAAAAAGCCAGTTCTGAAGATATAGCATGTGCCATTTGATCACAAAACTACTTTTAGTACTTCTTTCAAATATTCTTTAAATAATTAATATTGATATCCCTTTCATATTAAAGACAATTAATATTTTAATAAACATATTTAATAGTTCATAAAAATTAAGAAATACAATGATTTTGCTTACCTACGGCAATGACTTACCTACAGCATATGTTATTTTGCTACATGTCGCGAGTGAGTAGTCACAGTCACAATAAATGACTTATTCCTAAAAAAAATAATTTATGTTACAACTTCTGAAAAACTAAACATTCAAAATCCCCTTTTATAAAATAGAATTATAAAAGTCGTTAATAAAAACTTATAAGTACATAAAAATTTCTTAGGAAAGTAGTGCATAATAACAATTTAAGGAAAATGGATTTTCCATGGATAATTGTCAATGTTCCTTGAAAACAATTCCAAAGTCCTATTTACATATTATGTAATTTCTTATGGTGTGTATTTACATTTACATATTTTTCTTTACAGTTTATTAATAAGGTATTTCGATATTAAATATTGTATCTGTTTTATGTGTTTGTTACATATTCTTACCATTTTCAACACATATTTCTGAACATATTTTGCCATTTCATACTACATATTTTTGCAGACTCTACTTGACACGTGCCCTCATAGTATAGACTTCCTGACTCCATGTGTTTTTATTTTCTGTTTTGTTAATATTATTGCACACTGCACTACACTTTGCATACTTGTATTGTGCTTTTCATTCATTAATTTAGGTTTTCCCCCTCACGTGTCATTACCCAATCATAGTATCAATTATTACATAGTTTTTAAAAAAAATTTTAGTTATCTTTTAAACACAATTGTATATAATATTATTTACATATTTGTAAATAACACACACTAACTGAGATTTTATTATTTATCAAAGACTCTTTTGTGAGGAGACTGCCAAAGGCAACTGTTTCACTACTGGGTTACACAGGTTTGGTAGTAGTCGGAGCTTTTTAAGTTGCAAGATGAATGCGAAAGTGACGAGAGGGATGATGGAGAATGCAGAGAGAGGGGCAGCAGGAGAGCCCTGGGGAACTGCACAGGCCCTTTGGCGGCTCTGAACCCATGTCCTCAGAGGGGGAAAGTGAGCATCCTAATCTCCACACCATGGGTTAAGGATTTATTGAAATTAATTTTATGGACAGTTATTTTTCGGTATGTTGTTATTCATAATAAAATACTGAGAAAGCCAGTCCAAAAAGTAAACTCTTCCAAAACTTGTGAATGCACTATTCAGTATGTACTTGAATAAATGTTAAATGTATTTTAATAAGAATTTTGCTTGTTGTGGTTATTGTTTTGTTATAAGGAGAATATTGGAATATTTATGTTAATGCTAAGTCAGCCATGCAAGTGATGATGATGTAACTATATAGTACTACTATTGTACTATAACAAATATATAGTTATGATATAATTACATCATCAAATTGATGCTAATGTGACATTGCTGTATTATCATGAGCATTGGGGTTGAATAGAGTAACAGTGATATAAACTGTGTAAGCAGTTTAGTCATTATTAATCCTGCTTACCAGTACACACTATTGTTCATTAAAAAACAAAATAAGAATTGATCATCAAAAACTCTTTAAAATTATTTGCATATATCTCTTTCAGACATATATTAGGACTATTTTGATTTCTAAGAGAGTAGTTGTAACAGTTACAAATATTGTGTATAGAAGGGAAATTTAAAAATTTTGATGGGCCAATGCCTTCTTCAGATCTTTATAGGACTCTTAATTTTTGTTGTATTTTGTACTCATCCATAAAAAACAATAAAATTATTGGACGTTTTCTATAATTATTTCAGCTACGTTAAATGATGGTTTGTGGGCGTTGGATAAGAAGAGTTACCTGTTGCGACACACTCAGCTTCCTGTCACTCTTTGCGTAGATGACCTTGACTCCAAGTCATCCGATGCTTGTTCGTCCTTGGAAGGAGATTGGGAACATGTTAGCGTCAATAAGATGTGAATATAAATGTTTTATGAAACAAACTCTAAAGATATTTTTATTTGAAATAGTTTTAATTCATTATTTTGGTGATGTTGCTGAACATTTTTTAGAGTACTGTTTCAATGAACTCAATAGATATCTCAAGGTAATTGGAAGTGTGATGTTTGTTAATTTTTGCACACATTTTATTGTAATATAAATATTTTCACACTCTAATTTTCTGTGTTATATTATGATACACTGTAAATATAAGTAAAAATGTACTCAGGTTTCTCCAGGATGTCTTTTGTGGGAAACCAGAATTATATTTGTCTTGCATAAAACTTGTATGTATTTAGTCTAGTCTTGCTTAAGGAAGTATAAGTAGCAAATATACACTGAGATAAAATATTAAGTGATGCATTTGAGCTCTTTTGTATGGAAGTAAATATTGTGATGTTTATGAACAGTCACATTTGAGTAAGGCCTTGCAAAATGTGGATTGTTTTATTGTAAATGTATTTTTGTTTCTAGGAGAACAGCATAGGTCATGGTGAGGAAATGTGGTTCGTGTAATAGTTATTAATAAAATAAGTGTCATAAGAATCTTATTACAAAATGAGATTGGAAAATTATCAAATGTGGCCATGAAAGCAAATTTGATAACCAATCCTACATTTTAATAAGACATTACAAACCTCCTTAACATTTTATCCAGTTTGTAAAATTCCAAGGATCTATAATTTTCATTTAAATTTACTATTTATCCTGCAAAATATAACAGAATGATTTTGGAATAATTAATTTGAGGCCGTGTATAACTATAAAACACTCATTAACATTTTCCTTTTCATTACTAAACTGAATATTGTGGTATGCCACAGCTTATTAAAACACTTGTATCATAGTAACTCTCTATTACAACAGCTGTTTCATAAAAATTAAGTTCAGACAGTGAAAGTCGATAAATGAATTTTTATTAAATTTTGTTGAATTATGCATTTCCCAGAGATACAAAAAGGGTAATTTAACTAATCTTAAAAGCATTGATGAAGAAGTATTGCTTTTTTGTACCAAACACTGAAGTTTTAAAGATACAGTTAGTTATTATTTAATGAATATAATATCTAATATTTTCAGAAATTGAAATCAAAGAATTTTAGATGTACTTCTATCGAGCATGATGATTTTGTGAAATTCATAATTCTACATAGCTTGTACTACATGAAGTATTCCTTTGCTGATCAGTTTGCTAAGCATGCTTGGAATGATTTGCTGATTCATAATGATGTCTCAAAAAGGAAATTTGAAAATAATGATTCATTTTGATATTAAATGATAGTAAGTATGTTATTTTTGGCTGCATGTTTTTCAGTCTGAATTTTCATTAATTCCTTACACATGGTAGGAAGAATATAATTTTTTTCAGTTAAGAAGCCACGCTGGTATATAGTGTATTCCACTGCCTCCTAGCCTTGTCATTGTATTCGTTATTTATAAATTTATTATGCATTGTGGTGTTTTTTGGGACAGCCAGCCATTTGGCCATGCCACATTGCTTGAAATTTAACTCTTCAACTTTTCCCTCAGATGTTAGTCTGATTTATTATCCTGAAGTTGACTGGTGTCACTAACTGATCAGTAGGAACATAGGCTCTCATTAAGCCTTTGATTGTTGTGAAAGTATTGACAAACGGAAAATTTCCATACCTGAGGGTTTTAGCACACGCAGTTGGGCTGTAGCTGGGAGCCTTTGGGCTTCTTATAATGCAAGGGTTCATAAATATGAAGTTTATGAGGATAGCGGCAAAAACGATAATTATATTTTCTGTAGGGAACAAGAAAATAATAGCTCAGGAAGAAAGTTTTAACTTTCTAATCAACAAGGCAATATTCTGGTTCATTAGACAATTTGCAATTTTATTTCAACTAAATAATGAGAAATATTTTACAATTTAAAAACGATCAGACTTCTTCAAAATTAGCTGGGGGCTTGTATTCATGTAAATACAGTATTTTGTTTATTACATAAATATGGATGTATGCATGTTCCACAAAAACTTTTGTGGAACCATGGATCAATAGCTTCCATACTCATTTAGGTAAATGAAATCTGCAGAACCTGTAGGCACCCTTGTTGCCAGATGTGAGGAGGGGGCTGAATATTTAATTTATGTGAAGTGCTATACACCACAATGTATGTATATTGGTGTATTGATGGTATCTGTTCATCCACAGCTTGTTGCCACTTCGTGGATACATGACAGGGATTCCTAACCTCCTCCTTTCATTGACCCCCCTTTTAATTAAATTGTTTGTTTTATCATCTTCCTTACCTTTTCTCTATTGTATCCAGTATCAATTGCCGTGTCAAAAAGAATTGCACATAAATACATTAAACATAACAATTTTGTACACCAATATTCTTGTAAATATCAGTATTTATAATAATCAAAGAGGCTTCCACTATTGAGTAGCTGAGTCTCTGATCCTCTTTGTTGGTTACAAAATGTTCAGTGTTTTTTTAGTACTAGCCATAATATTTCTCCAGGGTGTATTACATTCTTGCACATCACGGTATCATAGTGAAATACTTATAATTTCTTGTATTTTCTAAATATCCTGACTCCTTAGGAAGAACTAAAGAGGAGTAGCGACTTTGGAATTTATTATTAAAGTTTTTTTTGCATTATATCAGATAGCAATTAAGTGTTTTTTCTAATCAATGCAATCTTGAATATATTGATCAGGGACTGGTTCTTATTTCTTTGTTGATCACCAATCGACTCCTTGATAATAGTTTACCCCTTTCATTAATCTCCCGGGGGGTATATACCAGGAGTGCCCATCTTGCAAGACTTCAAGAACAACAACCAAAACCTTAATTAAGGTTGCGAGCCATATTTTCATTACTCATGCAATCTACAGGTGGCCCTGTTTTGTTGAACTCGGTAGTTGCACGATTGCACTAAAATTGGGGATGGGGGAGGGAACCATGCATGATATCAGGCTGTACCCTGCATAACACAGTGAATCAAATCAGAATGATTTTGAATTTCTGAATTTACTAGAAAAAATTCGTAAATCTTAACTTCACCTATTTTTATATTAAAGAGGATGTTGACCCAGGCAGAGTGCATGCAATAGGTGCACAGTTCTCGCCTGACCTGGATGCAGGGGACTTTCACCTTTGTAATAACCCAGTTGCACATCCTGTTCAATACAGACCCTGTTGAGAACCCCTGTTCTAGATCAATAGAGGATCAGTCCATTGCTCAAATCATGAAGGTTGTATGTGGGCTAGGAACGAGTGTGCAATGCAATACAGTTTAGGTACTCCCTTGGTATCTGCCTGGATCAGCTGTCAGCATTATCAACCAGGCTAGTCAGTTTCGATCTTGTTATTTTTCCGGGGAAAACCTGCATAATTGGGTCTTGAACCCAGGACTTAAAGATCTACAAAGCATCTCTTGCAAACTCTCTGATTCATGTGCTGATAAATTGACACCCTTGTTTAAACTATTTTCGACTTTTACTGAACACCGAAATGCATAATGTGTTTGGAGAATGTAACTTCAGATTGGGACAAACAAGTAATTCTTTCTCTGTTATCAGTTCTATAATTTCATAGTTCCACTCAATAACTTGCATTTTGGAGCAGAAGATAGACATCATTGTTGTTGGGAATATTTTTCCTCCCAAATGATGAATTTTTCATGAATTATTGTAATTATGGTTTACAGTTGTTGAAGAGCTTTAATTGTGTGACGAATAAGACATTCTGTGTTCATGGTATTTCTTGCCAAATGGGCAGGAATTTATTCTGAACAATTGTATGGTAGAATTAATTACCTTTGTTTGACATTGGAAGTAAGGTGTTCCATTAGAATTTGTGTGTTGTAACGTTGCATTCACACATTACAATGTACAGTTTTTCAGAAGTGTTTCCAATTTTTTACTGTTGGTCGAGTGTTTGAACAAAAGTGAAATTGTCATAAATATTTTGTTCTTTGAATGAGTGTTGATAGAGCTTTTTAAGAGTAGTATGAATCATTCAAAGAAGATTTTAGTGAAAAGCTCTACATTTGTATAGATTATAATTATTAAAGATTTCTAAAACTGGGACATGAAAATGCGTAACTGCAACTATTTTCAAGATGTGATAAATAATTTTTAATTTCTAATGTCAGATTTTAGTTGTATAAAGTGATTGATGAAATTCATTCCCTAAGGTGCTTTTGAGCTAAGAAGAGAGTAAGTTGTACTGTTCCTTTAATCCAATCAGTCAATCATTTTGGCTCTGTATGTCATACACATCCATAAACGCCTATTAAAAGAGGATGCACAAATACATTGACTTGAGTCATTGCCAGTGGTCTTGGTGTATTTTGTAGAAGAAAACCGCTGAGAAGGATGAGGATGCTCGTTATCGTAAAAACTATCAGTCTACTTTCAAAACACTTTGTGAGTGAGGTTAATTTTGTTTACAAAAGAGGATAGGGCCACTGACCCAAAGGTGATATATAATATTCCAATGCTTTTGTGATGATGTATTTGAGCAAGATTTGTACACAGCTCTTGGCAATATTTGACTTGTCAGGGGTTTAAAGATGACATTATTCTAAGGATTTTGAAGTAAAAAAAAACAATGAACAAACTTTAATGTGCTTGTAAGCTGACAATGAGATTATAAGTGGCAAAGTATATCGCTACAAAAGATCCAATTTATGATTGGATTTCAGCATTGAATCTCTGTGTTTGTAACCAGTAACCAGTATGCATTAAACTACCAGGCATTGCATGACCTGAATTGTCAGAACAAATGTTGAATCATTTTGAATACAAAATAAATGGTTACATTCCTAGTTTTCTGTGAGGGTTATAGGTTAAATACTTATTTTCTTACTTTGCCAAATAATGTTTATTGATTGTGATTATATTGAGTTATTTATTTCACTATTTACAAAGATATAAGTAAGTTAAGTTTGATTTGGGCAATATGTATTAAATTCAATCTGTTCCTTATGTAATTCTTTATTTGGGGCTCTGGTTTCCTTTTTTGTTTTGAAGTGCACAGTTCTTTTCAAATGTACCTACAATATTGTCAAATCAATGCAGGTAAAGTGCAATCTCAAAGTTTCAATTTTTTTGCAAGTGCTCTTTGCAATTTAGAGTTAAAAATTCAAATTGTAAATCTGACTCAATAGTTTTGCCTCCTAGTATATTATATATTACTTATTCAACCCTTTTTTCTAAACAAGTATGTTATGCACAGTGTGTATACCTTATACTATAAACACTTGTAGGGTATACTTGAAATTCTTTCTTTAAAATTCAGGTGACATATCTGTATAAAAATGATAAAGTATTAAGAGAAAATTTGTATTTAAAGAATAATAATATTGCTATAAAATTTGATTATTACGAAGAACTTATTTTGTGTAATTCTTACTAACAAATTAATGAGATTACACTTTACCGACTTATTTTTAACTAGATGTTTTCATTCTACTCTCCTTATTTAGACATTTAAATTGTACATTCCATGAATTTTTTTTTATTTGAGTCTTGATTAATTATGGGGTAAGTTTCATGAAAGTGGTTTATTGAAAGAGAATAAGATTATGTAAAATATTATGTGATTTATTTAAAGACTGTATCAATGACAAATACTAAAAAGTTGCTTAGAAAAATTGTCCTTATATTTCTGTATACTCATCTGTGGTGAATATAGTATTTTGTGACTGATTGGCAGAAGAAGAAAATGGGACATAGTATTTTTTCTTGCCTGGTTTTGAGAACAACATATTTAATGTGATAAATAGGGAGGAGGAGGAGGTCATAAGACCACAATATACAAATTTCCATAAATCAGTTTCCATTAACATTCAGTTTTCATAAAGCTTGTGTCATGTTTTGAGTAAATTAATGTAAAATAAAAGTGTAATATTAAAACCCTAAGCCAATATTCTTTGAATGTTTGTGTGTCAGAAAATATATTGTTCAGTAAGTCATAAATTCATTCATTTGTACACATGTATAATTTATATATGCCAAATATATTATGTGTTGCATTCACTAAATTCCACAATGTTTCAGATGATTTTTCATAACAATTATTTTTTTCTGTTGAGATATAATAAATATTTTATTATTATTATTATTATTATTATTATTATTATTATTATTATTATTATTATTATTATTATCTCTTTTTTTTATGTAAATAATGTGCAAAGAGTCAGCCATTGTCCTTGATTCCATTAGTATATTTTTGATTCAGGCTCCAGCAAATCCGTGTGTGTGTCTAAGGGATCTTTTGACAAGGCATACTTCTAGGACATTGCTTCTTGTACCTGGGCACAATTCTCACAGTCTTCGCCAGATGTCAGACTAGGTTAACTATATCTGAACTGCCTGTTTGGAAGAGCGTGGGTTCTCTTTAAGATGGGAAATTGGCAAAGGCATTTAATTTTGCTGAGAATATGTGGGATGCTTTTGAAGGCCACAGTCATGACATGACCTCTGTGGATCCTCTGTGGTTGCCCTTCTTTTGAACGCAGTTCGACCAGGATGTTACCGGTAGGGAGTTTGAGAGGCCAGTGAGTTAACCACTCACCTGCCAAGGTGCGGACATATTAATAGTCTGCATTGAATAGAAGCCTTTGGCATCGACTTTTCCTTTCCCTCCTTCAGCTGAAGTGCAACTGCTGGAATGCTTCAGTCCAGCAAGTCCTTAAGCTGAATTCTGCCCTTGTTTAGCAGAGTTGCATACAGTGTAGTGCACATGTCTCTTGAGTGTACACAGCAGTTCATTAACACAGTGAATGTAAAAACAAAAATTAAGGAGATACATTTCATATTTTTTATTGTAAGCAGCACATGAGAATAACATGTCTATAAAAATTGTCAAAATCTTCAATCTGATTGGGGAGTTTCTGAAGATTTAAATTGAATCCATTTAATATATTTTTTTATTATGAATTTAAAATGAATATGATAACACTAATAGTTATAGAATGTTAAAAATAATAATGAAATCTTAGTGCACCTTCATCAATGTAACAATCTAATATCTGAAAAGTAGTAGTATGTATTCTTTGTGTGGCAAGCAAAATATGTAATGCACCCATTTCTTTTAACAAAATTTGATACTCCTGAATAAGAGTTAAAAGAAATTTAAATAAAGAAGAAAAAACAATTATTAACAGAGGCACGTCCAGGACTTTTCTTGAGAAGGAGGCTATAAGTATAGTGTCCAGCTGACTCAGTGTTTTCTTTCGAAGAATTTTTCATGTATGCTGAATATAAAATGTATTTACTTTTTACTGATACAATATAGCTTGTCATTGCCTTCCTTAAGGAGCTCAATATACACTGCATAACTTGCCTGGATCGAAAGAATCATTGTTATGAGGGAAATATGAAAACAGATGAATGATGCTACACGTTCTCTTAGGGAGAGAAATATGAAAAGAATCACTGTAAAATAATATGGCCTTCCTCTGCATAAATGTATGACATCACAATTGGCCGTAAAAAAGCGGCTCTGGCCCTCCCTTCCCTCTTCCAAACAGCCCTGCCGGTATATGGTGCTTTGCAATTTATGCAAGAGAAACCTGAAATTTCATGAAGGCCTCCTCAATCTGAGTCATTAGCTCAAGTGAGATGTTTTATCCAAGGACAGGTAAATGTGTTTACCATGTAATAACCAGAAATTTAGAAAACGAATGAAAACTAAAGCTTTCAATATCAACATGATTCAGTTTTCCCATGTTAAAATTGCCTTAATGAAATGAAAAACAGGTTGGGATTCTTTCCTTGCATGAAGGAAGAACATATTAACAATGGTAAGGTAACAAGGTAAAATGCATGATTGCTTTCAATGTTTTTGTAACACCATAGATTGTATTCCGTAGGAAAAATACAAACCCTGAACTTCTGGATGGCCATCCAGGAACTTTGCTCAATGTCACCCTTCTGGATGCCTCCAAGTATGTGTCTTCAATGATTACCCTTAATCACTTCATCAACTTTGTTAAAACCCCTCGAAGAGATCCTGACGTTTTAATTTTGAAAATCGTAAGGCAACCCTCCATCTAAACTCATAAATGAAGAGTTATCCTCACATGAATAAAAGTTATCTTTGGCATTACAGATGATGAATGATTGTTTTGATCTTGAACCTTCACAATGAATAAGGAAGGTTGAACAGTGGATTGTATCTGTATTCTGGAAGAGAAACGCATTATGTCCAAATTTTTCGAAATTGAGGTTTCGGCACCAGCTTACAAAACACTTTTTGCTCTTTCTAGTGGAATTTACTTATTTATTTACATTGCCATAAAATTTAGTGCTTATTCCAAATACATAGATGTTTGCACAAATATTAGTTTTCTGTTGGAACTAAAGAGCATTATGTCCAGTATTGTAAAAACTGAGAGATAAAATTAAATAAATAAAATGTGTCACTAAGAGTGACTTAAGTCAGATAAACATTAATGCAAAAAAGTGAAGAAAACAAGTTGTGTGAGAAACAAAAGAGAGAAAATGTCGTAACCATAAAATTTGCTTATTGTGACACAGTGCTCTTTTCTTTCAAGATACATATATGTATCAAGAGTTTTTGATTGACACAGAAGCCAAAACAAACAAATACAGATGGAAAACCATTCCATGTGATTTTTGCAAATAATTGGTATGTAATGTGCAAGTTGTACTATAATTATAATTAAAATGTGACTGTTATGATAACACATAATATTCTGAAATTAAAATTGAAACAACTTTCAAGCTAACTAAGACTTTGGGATTTATCTATCTTCTCAAAACATGCATCTGAAATTCAGAACTAGTGAGGGATAGGGGTGTAACTACAGCAATTCACGGTCTTGGCACACAGGTCACAGAAAGAAACACCAATATTAAGCATCAGAAAGATTTTTTGCATTGATTTATCAGAATTGAACTTCTCTTCTATTGAAATTCCAAAGCATGGTTCATTGCAAAGAACGATATAAAAATGTTGGTAGCAAAAGGAAGATGATAATAAGGTCATTTTCCAACTTGCAAGAACAGAACTCAGTATATTACGGCAGAAACAAACCAGCATTCTAAAAAATGGGGAGGGACTGAAAGGCTAGAAGATTTTCACAACATCTTTAGATAATTCATGAAATTGTAGATAGAAATTTTATATTATTATTTGAAACTTCCTATTTAACACATCAGTGTACCAGAGGACAAAACAAAGCAACCTTTGAAATACTCGTAAAAGTTCTATCAATGTAAATTTATACAAATTTAAGAGAAACGCACATCTGCAGTCAAGACTCCTAATACTGATTGAAGTGTTTCTCACTTCATATTGCCACATGCTGTCACAAGCTGTCTTTCCAGGTTTTCTGGATCTGTATGTTCAAAGAGCTCTCAAGCAAAACTGCTTACTTTGGTCCTTAGAAAATATCCTTAGTCATGAAGTTGTACTTGTTAATGTATCACATAAACTCATCCTATCCATTGATTTGGATAGTTTTGGTTCAGAACACAACTTGACATTATGCCTTAAATGTGCTGGGCAACAGTCACCCACCACTGCCCTTCTCAATCTCTGTAGACAGTTACCACCCTCCCCAAAGGTCACCATTGCAAGAAATTGTACATTGAAAAGAAAATGTAAATTGTGTACTAACCACAATTATAATAGATGTTGGACGTGTTGTCTCCTTCACTTGTTAACCAGTGATCTAGTTGCCATGAACATAGACACAATTTTTAGTAAGAGACCTTGATTCAACTCACTGCCGAGAGATTTTCCTGGTGCACTATGTAACTTACGGCTCTGAAAACTTGAAACAGATATTTTGTTTTTAGGGAAATCTTCCATGAAATCTCAATAACATTTTCTCAAAAATCGTTCTAAATTTTTGGATTTTTTCTTGATTAGAGCAAAATGCATTTGTAAAAAAGGCACATTTCTGTTGAACAATGAACTTTTAAAAATTGCAAAAGTTCAAAATCTTTTCAGCATATTTCTGTGACTGCAACATTAAGATAGAAAAACTGTTAATAACAAAATCTATTCTACAAAATGATATATTTAGGACATGTACAATTCTTCTCAAATATGAGTAGTTTTAGGGTAATTATGCTTGCAATAAAGGCAGTTTTAAAAACATTTTTCACAAAAAACGCTTGAAAATTTTTTCTTTACTTTATTTTCTCCAATAATGCAAAGTAAGCTTATAAAAATGAGACAGGCTCTGTTTTCATTGAACTCTGAATTTTTGAAAATTGCAAAAGTTCGGTTTTTCTGTTTCTTCGTACAACTTTAAAGTTGAAAATAGCGATTTTGCCGTAATAAAATCTTTTCTCCAAAATTGGATCTTTACATAAGGTCATGTTCATTTTTTTTAAAGTGTGATTAGTTTCTGCGCAATTCTGAGACCACAAATAATGCGAACAAGTATGTTCTTTTGTAGCCGCACTAGGTTTATTCGTAATTCCATTGAACAAAAAAGCTGTTTCAAATATATGGCGGCACACTGGTTCGGTTTTTTAATTGGGTATTGCAATCGTACGCATGGCTCGCAACGCAAGACCTCCTTCGTCTGTTTCCTTCCTACTTGACGAAGGGGTCAAAGGGGAATGAACGGGAAAGAAGTAATACTAGCGAAGATTCGTGCGTACTTCCAAAATGCACGCATCCGCTGTTCTCTTGGCGTCTGTCAAATCTATTGTGCCTTCGAATAATACGTAGGCACCACTTGAGAGAGGTTATTGTGGTGAGTGCCTGGTTCCCAAGAGGCGCGTTGTCAATTTTTGTAAATTATTACTCCTTATCAATATTTCCTCCATTTATATATCCTATGTATGCTACCCGTCATCTTGGGACTATGCACTTCTTTCTTGCAGAAAATGCCATTTGATCTTCCGGATGATATTCTGGTGGAGGTGTTTACCTACTTGACAGTGGAGGATATTGTTCTAAGGATACGTCATGTAAACGAACGCTGGGTAGCCGTCGCAGAAAACAGTCGCGTGTGGAAGAGACTGACATACAGACCCACCCTGCGATACTCTGAAAAGGAAATCATAGACTTCTTGAGACAAGCCCCCAAACTTCAATGGTTTGTGCCACCATGTGGTTACACTACCACTGCTCTGCTAATGGCTATAATGAAATATTGCAAAAATATTAGAAATTTAGAACTAAATATGGCAGAAGCAAATTGTAATTTGTTAGAAAAGTTAGTAAGCGACTGTCCAAATATAGAGACACTCACTGTCATTGATGACAATTTTGGAGGTTCAAGATGTTTGCGATTTGTTAGTCAGTTTCCTAAAGTAAAAACTTTGAGATTAAATGATGACTTTTACTTAACAAGTGGAACAGGACGACGTCATGAATATATCCTTGCAGAATTGGCATTAGGCTGCCCATCTCTTCAATGTTTGGACCTTCGTAGTTTAAAACGATATTCAAGCCTAGATTTAGAGTTCTTGCTAGAGAGGAAGAAACAGGATATCGTGACTCTGTTTTTAAACTGTAGTTGCAGGGAAGGTAGATGCCCATTAAGTGTCATTGGATGTTGCGTAAAGTTGGAGGTGTTGCACGTGGAAAACGGATGCTTCCTCCCTTGCCCTCTGGAAGTATCAACTTCTCTCAAGAACATTCCAAATTTAAAAACATTTTCACTCCCACGTTTTAGATATAGTGATGTTAATTTTCTTATAGACTATTTTGATACTGGTCCTGTGCAAAGCTTGGAGAAGATAGATTTAAGTGGTTATAAACATTTTGAGACTAAGCTTACATGGACAATATTTGAAAAGTGTCACAATCTTAAACAATTGAATTTTAAGGAGTGCCCTGACATTAATGATGAAAGCTTGGAAAAGATTTGTAATCTGAGACAGTTGGAATGTCTTAATGTGGCATGTTGTAATGACCTAACTGATCGTGGAGTTGCACACATTGTAGAGTGTTCAAACCTAAAGTATTTGAATCTGAATGATTGTAAAAAGCTGACTAACGAAAGTTTTGTTCTGTGTTGTATAAATCTAAAGCTTTTACAAGAGTTTCACATAAATAGTTGTGATGTTGACCCAAAGTCAATGCTAGAAGTGCCTGAATATTTAAAAAAATTGAAAGTACTCTGTATTTTTCTTCCTAAAGTAGGAAAGCAAACCATTTTGGCTTTTAAAAGTCGCATGCCAAATGTTGAATTACGTTGTTGCTGAAACAACGTATTTCTGAGGGGACTTTGAAGTAATATTTTTTTTTTAATTTCCAAAACTTTTCTTGACCAACTTTGTATGTATCTTAAATATTTCTTCATTTTCATCATTTCTGTTTTCAAATTAAGACATTTACATTTGAATGTTTTATATTGAATAATAGTTTAAAGTAGTTGTAACTACATAAACATTTTTCTGTTATGAATGAAATTGGTCAGTTCAGAATAAATAATTATGCTTGTCTGACACCTCTACATTAGAGGGCTTGAAACGTGATTTGGTAAATATGTTAACATAAAACAAATAATTAAATTCCAATTTTATTTACACAAAATACAAGAAAAATGTAAGGTGTGTATATAAACGAAAATGTACAAAAAAATCTTCTGACCATGACATTTGCAAATTGTTTAATTTTATTGAATTGTTTTTGCTGTTAAATTAATTATTATTCAAACACATTTGTCAACATTTGGAGTCATTAGTCAGATCTGACAATGGTCACAGAATCTTTTAATTTTCTTTTATTTAAATTTTCCAAATTATTAAGAACTTTCAAACATTAGTTCCTAAGGGCCCCAATATTTCAATATATCATGATTGTATGTGCGATGCTATAATGAAGAGCCAGTAGAACATTGCTCTTTGTTGAATTGTCTTCACAGTTTGTGAATGGTGAAGCCTATTGGTAAGTGAATGGGCATACGTTTAGTAAACAAATTTTCTACGTCTTTCGGCACTGATGAGGACTGAAACTTTATGTAGAACACCCAGAGATCATGTTTGAATGGCGTATTCTGTTTCCCTTTTAAGTATTGATTTGCACCAACTTGAAACAATAAAATGAGTGCAGTAACAGTAAGTAGAAAGATTTGCAATAACAGTGAAATGTTATTTGTAATGTGAGATAACCAGTCACAATAAGGAACTGTTGTAATCTACTTAGCTAAATATTAACAATGTTTTTGGAAGCATGGTTTTAATGAGTTCTTCATACTTAGTTGATTTAAGATTAATTACATATGATGGACTCAACCCCTACACATAAAAGGGGAGTAGCAAACTCATGGAAATAAAGAAACGCATGGGATGATTGGAAGGCTTGTCTCCCCATCTGAGTAACTAATTTAGGTGAAGATATTGTTCCTGATTGTGCAGGGGTGTTGGTCTAAATACTAACAATATGGGATAAATATTTTCTTTTGAAGCAAATATTGTTAATATTGAGTTCCTTAGAAATGCCTAATTTCATTTCCATAAACACGCACACTTTTTTTCGACTACAAACCATGTTATTCTCTGTGGCCCAGCCATATTCTTTCCGGAGAGACTTAAGTGTCTTTACTCGCTATGAGGAACTGCCTTTTTGGTTGTGTCCATTTTTGTTAGACAAGGTCGTTAGCCTTGAATTATGAACTATGAGGGATGAAGGGACACATTACAAATACGACCATGTCTACACAGGACTCGAACCTATTTGGAATAACTAAAAAACAAGTACTAGAGGTGACAATCTGAGTTTAAAAAGGTAGAATTTTGGATACAGAACAGAACCTGCATCATATTCTTTTAGTAGACATTAGTATTCTCTGAAGTGGTTTACAGCAGCTTCTTTTTTTTTTCCCTGGCAATTGCTGTATATATATTTTTTATTAGGATTGGATATTTCATAATGCTACATCTGTGAATCCCTTCATCAGAGAACTGACTTATAATATCTCAACTTCATGAATTTTCAAATGTGTCTTAATTAATTAAAAATCAGGTCAATATATAATATTAACAGTTAATAGATTCCAATCATGAGCCTAATTTCTTTCTTTATTTAGTCATTATGTATGTGTAGGTCTACTTATACTGATCAGTTGACAATATGTAAGTGAATTGTTGACAATTTATAATTATGCTAAATAAGGAGAGCAATAATGATCTTATTACCATATTTCAAATTTAGTGAATTGGAATATTTTTGTAGTGGCAGAATTTTAATCAACAGTTTCCTTTTTGGGATGATGAGCGGTAACAATTTGATTGGTAGGCTTCTGCAGTTGGAGTCATGTGATACTTCGCGGTCCAGGTCCCAACATGATGGCCAAAAACGTCAGCTCGACTGGCTTAGACATGCTTGTCTTGGACTGCCAAGAACCAAGTGGTAACAATTGCATGAAATTAGTTTCAGTAAAATAGACTGACTAATTTGAAATGTTTTGAAAACTTTCAAAGACTGAAGTTACAATAACCGATTGTTTTCAAAAGTACAGTTATTTGAAAGGTAACAATCACAATTTTTTATTGAGAGAGCAAGTGTAGTTTTAATGCTATAGAAGATACATTATGCGATTGAATGTTTATACTGGAATAAGAAGTTATGAAAACTGACTCATAACAAAGGTCTTCCATTCAGACTGGTTGATCAGAAGTTCTGCTGTATTCTAAAATCAGTAAATTTTCTTAATTTTATGGCCATTAGTTTTAGATACTTTACAATTCACATGAATAATATTCTTTGTAAGTTGTGCTGTGGTATTGCTATTACACAAATGTGACCAATGTCTTTACTTTTTCATAAAATATTTAGGTCGTTATAGGAAACATTTCTCACAATATTTCAGGGTGAAATAAAAGTGACTTTCTCCCTGAAATATTCATAATTTCCCCATCTTTAATTAAACATTTTTAAGAAAGTTCCTTCAAAAAGAAGCGATTATTCTGACAACTGTATTATCTCTGTCGGAATTTGTAACTTTTATTCCACCCTTTACATGACATTTTACTACAAAAAGAAAATATTATTTGTAAATTATGTATTTCACTCATCACTGATTCACAGTGGCGTAGTTGGGAGGGGGTGCAGGTGTCCCACAGGTGACACCAATTAGAACATTTTGTAGTTGGAATTATATAATTTTATTGATTTATTGAAAATAATTTAATAGTTATTCATTTAAATCATAAATACTAAGAAAGGAAGGAAAAAAAATAATGTAAACTAAACACGAAATTATAAGCAGTAAGCACCTATTCTTCAATGAACAGTGTTTTAATTTCAACGATTTCTTTATCTTATTGGGTGAACTGTTGATGGAAATAAGAGGTAATGCTAACAAAATCATATGTATTATTAAAATAAAATTTCTTTCTTGAAATGATATCAGTAAAAGGGTAATAACTGTTGAAAAGTGTTTTTATAAAAAAAATGCATTTGTTAATTAGTGGTACTTCATTTTAGATTATTTACTTAAAAATTATATTTTAATTATCCTGAATTACATACAGTCTTTTAATATATAGGTCTTATATTAGAAATAAATGTAATTTAATTTATGGTAGTGGAGTGGGTAATACTGTTTGAAGCTATGCCACTGATGATTCATATATATTTTTTTTTAATATGTGCTTTTATTTCTTGACCTCTTTTTTTCAATAGAATGGAATTTTCTTGAGTTTTGGTCAGTGAAAATAGATCATTTAAATTGCCAATGTTTGGACTTTTATTAAGCCTTCGTCAGGGCTACAACAAAAGGCCACTGCAATAATTAATATTTATACATAATTATTCAAAATTGTGTTATAGGCTGGTATTAGAGAAGTAATCAATTTATTGTACACAGTCGATAAGAAAAAATCCTTTGTTGTAAGCCTGATGAAGACATAATAAAAGCCGAAACAATGGCAATTTAAAAGTTTTTTTACTGACTAAAACTCAAGAAAATTCCATACTGTTATTTTTATAATTGTTTTTATTGTTATTAGAAATACTTGAGTACATGAGGGATTTTTAAGTGTAATTCTTTTTTATTTTAATTATTTACCCACTTGTCGTTTTTCTATTAATTTGCAAAGAGTATGCAAATTGATCAAATAGTTTTCTGTTAACTTAATTTCACAGAACAGAGCTCAATGTTATGAAGTTTGAAAAGAATCAATGGTGCTATTGTAAACAAAACTTTGTATAAATGACCACAGTATTTCATTGTTATTAAAAATAGCAAAATGTAAATATTGTTATAAAATTACCAAGTTTGTCTTTTCTCCATAAGTTATTTTAAAACATTTGTGTAGAAGTTTACATTCAGCTGAATGGACCCTCTTAATATAAATTAGATGCTGATCTCATCTAGTAATTAATAATGCAGATAGCTTATGTGCTTTAGGTATTGATTGACATAAACCTAATATTAGGGAAGAGAATGAAAGAGTCGAAGAAAACTTTGAAAAGCATTGATTGATATCAGCATTATTTCTAACATTTATATGAATGATCGTATTGTCACCTGTGAATGTCTGTCATGAATATTGATGATAGACGCAAATTTGAAGTCTGTGCATTATCCAGCGGTTAGGGGCACCCAGAGAAAAGGAAGGGCCTGGGGGAATAGATCAGTGGGGTGCCCTTATTTCACCCCCCCTCCCCCCATCCCAAATAAACAGAATTTCTCTCTCATCAGGAATATGCTGCAGTAATTAATTTGAATAAAAAGTAAATATATTTTTTATGTTTTAGGCCCCAACCAAGTCAGGCCCTGGTTAGGCAACTTGCCCCACCAGTCCTCTTCTGGGTCCTCTATAAAGTTATAAGAAAGTATAAATATGGGGGGGATGAAGTTTTAATTGTAATCTTGTGAAATTTTTAAAATAGAAAAATTATGTAATTTAATGAATTTTAATATATCTTTGGAATCTATTATTTAGTTTGTGTTGGAATTATGTATATAATTCAATTTCCTGTTGAATGTAAATGAGAGGAATATGTCGTATTTACAACTCATGAAATGTATGGGTAGAAAATATTAATGTCAATTTATTGTGAAAATTGCAAAAGATCTGATTTAAATTCATCATATTTTCTTTATTTGGAACAGTATGGTGTTAAAATAATTATATGAGGGTAAGAATTGTTTCATTGTATATACACGTTTTAGTTTTTTTTAACTTTGCTTACAAAAAATGTTCAGCTAAAAATATCTGAAAGCTTGAAAAATGTGACTGTTAGTTGGGAATGAAATATCCCAATTACTTATACTCACATATTGATTTTTAGCAATATTCATTCAAGAAGAAACTGCATTGGTTCCATTATACACTGTGGAATTGTAGCCTCTTGTAAATTTGAAACAATCAACTTTGTTGCAATATCTGTTAAATTAAATTATAATAAATTAAATTGCTCATATTTTGAAGAGTTTCAATGTGGCAACATTAAGACCATTCTAGTATTCAACTCTTGAATTGTTTTGAAAATGGGAATACAAAGGATGTATTTTCTCGAATCATGTTATCAGCTTTGTTTTTTCTTGTTATTGTTTTGTCTATTTCTGAAGCACAAATACTTCAGTAATTATCCTGAATTAAATACGTTTCAATAAGAGTTGTGAACTTTCTTTTTTTTTTCCAGATTTGATTCAAATTCTGAAAACCGGTTTTGTCTCTTGAAACATCAGAATAATTTCTGAACAAAGAATATTATATTTCTTCCTTATCATGTTCATTCTTAATAGTCATATCTGATATCAATTGTCTGTTTGTGTGAAAGAATTTTCTTGCAAAGTATCCTCAGGTTTATAGACAAAGATGATTTCTCATTACTTATTTAAAAAAGCTTATGAAACATTTCACAGCTTGTTGGGTCGTCTCATCTTTCTTGTTATTTTCTCTTACTTAATTTTGACTATCTGAAATATTTTTTATTTTTATTGAAATAAATTATATTTTTTAATGAGAGTTCCTTTTTGCTAATATTTTATTATTTACATTTCTCTTCTATAAAATTCATATTTTCTTATATAATGTTAATATTGCTTTATTACTTTTGTAATTCTACTTTTCAATATTATTCAAAATAACTTTCAGTATACCTGATGAAGCTGGCACTATAATCTGCAAAACATAGTTTCATAAATTTGTAAAAGAATGAATGGAAATTCATCTTTTTTTAAAATGTATTTATTAATTCGCGTCGTCACTAGCGACAAAATAAAAATACTTGACGTAACATTTACAACAGAAGCGCTCTCGTGGCGCAGAACGAAATCATTCGCCTTTCATCAAGGAGGTCCGTGTTTAATTCCCGGACAAGTGATAAGTGAATGTTTTAAGTATAGAATTTAGGTTTTTATAACTTGGCGGATGTGAACCTTCACGATGGAATGTTTTAGCATTTCTCGGCCATGCCGCTAGATGTCACATGATCGCCAGCACTTTCCGATAGGTAGCGATCCTGCGACATCTAGCGGCACGACTATCATCCTAAAACGCTAAAACTGAGGTTTTAACATATTTACTTTCTTGTATAAATACGTATATTCGTAGTATAGGGAAAGTTATGTAATGCTTTCGATTACGAGATTTCAACGAAAGTGCAGGTTTTGGTGTCCTCTGGAACCGAAAAAGTGTTTTTTTCAAAACGTCCGTCTGTGAACACAAATAGCGCCTAAACCATTGAAGTAACTCCTGTCCATCTGGATCGACACAGAACTTTGAGATTTTTAAATACATTCTTTAAAATTTGGGGGTACATTACATAAAATCCTTGGGGCATTTTCAAAATTTTCTCAAAAAGGCTCCAATTTTTTCTTTAAATTTCTTGTAAGAATAGAGTAAAATGCTCTTAAAAAGGAGGCATATGTCCGATTTATAGGGTTAACTCTAAATTTTTGAAAATTTCAAAAGTTTGACTTATTTCTGAAATTGTTTTTTCAGACCGTCCGTCTGTCTGGTGTATGTGAACAACACTATCGATTAACCCATGCATAGGATTTTTTCCAAATTGATGAAACCCCTGTCGAACTGGCTTAAGTCAAAACTCAGCTATTTTGATAAACATTCATTAATTTTTGGAGGCACTTTACATGAAGCCCTTGGAACATTTTCATTTTTTTTTCAAAAATGGTTCAAAATCCTTTCTTTCAATTTCTTGTAAGAATTGACTGAAATACGTCTAAAAATGTAGCGAAGGTCTGTTTTTCTCTATCAACTTTGAATTTTTGAAAATTGTAAAAGTATGAATTTTTTTCGGCAACTGCCTACAACTACAATATTGAAGATACAAATTTTTCCTCCAAAAGGAAATTTGTTGTCCATAATTAGTTCCTTTTATTAAGATCATGCGCGTTTTTTTTAAAAAAAAAAAACTTTTAGTAGTTTTCGCGCAATATTGCATGTAATACTAGCAATTAAAAAAAAATATACAAGAGTAAGATTTGATCGGCGCCTTTGTTCGCCTTCTCACGAAGGCGCCGGTTTGTCGGGTCTATCTACACCACTAGATTACTACTATATAGACCATACTAGACTACTGCGGGTGAGTGTGCTCTCTGACTGGCTTCCCTTAAAATAGATGCCGCCACACGAAAACGACGCTAGCGAATCCTCTAGTCCATACTCTCAAACAGTGAAAGTTCCCCCTATGGTATAGTCCAAAGAGTATATATAGTATGGTATAGTCCTTTATGTCTATACTTCAATTTTTTTACAGTGGCCGATTACATTAGATCATTGTTTCACCTCCTTCCTTATAATACGAATCTTTTTTATAGTGATAAACACATTTCTGAGACCAGTTGAGAGAGATGTTCTTGAATTAATTATGAAAAGATTAATTATATAAGGCAGGAGAAGTAACACTGAATAATTTCACTATAGACCACTATAGAAAAGGCAAAGTGTAGTATGCCAGTCCTGGCGGGAGCGCACCTGGTGGAAAGGGAGATGATCAATTTAAAATTGAAGTTAGCTTATAGGAGCCATTCATTTACGAATTTTTCTAAAGTTCCCGAGCACTGTTTCTTCATAAATTAATGGCAGAAGTGCATGTAATCGGTCAAATTGTTGGGGCTAGTAATTTTCCAAGTTCTACACTGTTCTGCAAGTGGGCTTTTCATGCAGGTTAGCTTGAAAAAATGCTGAACTGAATTGCTAAATTAAATGTTGCTTGTCAGTGATGTTTATATAGCTTGGAAAAATTGTAGGTGGTGCTTGGAAAGTTGTTTCTGGGCTCAAAGAAGGGCAAACTCATATAGACAATCCAGAATATGGAGAAACTACGTACTGGTGTCATCCAGTAGATATTCATTTTGCAACTAGAGGTGTTCAAGGTAAATAATTGTCACACATAATTTCCTAAACTTAAGGATGTACCAAAATTTATGAACTGAAAACAACAACAACACCACGTATTGCGTTCCGAAGTGGTAAGGTTGTCCCTTTTTGGAAAACAAAGAAGTTTCACAATTTCTTTAATCTGGAATAGTTACGAAACGCGGAATTTCGAAAAGGGTCTTATGGAGGTCAAGGAAATTTTTTAGCCAATTACAGAACTAAATGTTATACATTAAAAAACATTTGAAGACTGGTGAAAACAGAATTTTTCTTGGGATATGTGTGGTAGAGGTAGGTCTGGGTATATATGTCTAGCCGATTGATGATTTTTAAAAATAAAGTTTAAAATTGATTTCTATTTGCTAATTTGTAATTAATTGTTATGTATTCAGTTGATATGTCATTACTGCAAAAAATTAGTTGAAAGTATTTTGTATTATCTTATCATCATCCACTTTTGTTAATTTACTTTGTTGGAGGCATTCATCTGACTCTGGGTAAGATGAGTCAAAGAATGTAAGACCAGTTCTTCATCTTTTCCATCTTGTGTTTTTCCAGTATTCTTAGACTGCACGTGACAAGAATCACTAACTGAAAGATGAGGATGAACATTTATAAACCTCATGGTTCAAATCTAAGATGCCAATTCTGCTGTTGTGTGGGCTCGGGATTATCCTTGTAGCACCAATATCAACTGGTGCCACTATTACTTTTGTTATTCCCCACATTGATTTGATTTTGTCTGCCAATGGCAGTTTTGTAAGCAATTTTTTTTCTGTTTGTGTTTTCTTCAGATTGTTCAAAATGTGGTTCATGATTGGCTTAGGCATGAAGGCTTTGTAAAGGTTTGGCAGTTCCAGTAAATTTTGTAGACATTTTCTTCTCTTATTGTTGGTGGTTCATAAGAGTAGTATGGAGTGTGCTTTTCATTGCCAAAGTATTTCTGCGTGAGAGCCTGTTGAATTATTTTGGCCATAGGGTTATTCAGATATTGTTTGGTACTGAGCATTCAGAGCAAGAATAGTATGATTTAAGTCAAATGATTATTTTAAAAATCAATGATTGAAATCAATATTTATTATTTGTAATATTTGAAAATATATTAGGATTTTACATATTTGTAAAATAAAAATTATACTCAAATCAAAAAGACTTGATTCTATTACAAAGTTGATATAAAGAATATATTATATTTTTTGTAAACTTTTTCACATAACTGAACAATTTTGAGAAAATAAAATACAATATAATGTTCTATAAAATGAACAAACTTATGAAATGAAGATCATTAAATAATTTGTAGTTGAGTTTTATACTAAATAGTTAGATGATTGATTAGTTTTTATCCAGCGTTTAATTGTCAATAGATAAAAACTAATTAAGTAGTAATACTGCCCTAACACACACCAAGGTAGTTTTGAGAAAAACATATTTAAACATTGAATGGTGCCATAATTCTAGATACGTATTAAAATGTTTGCTAAAGCCACTTAAAATGAGTATTAATAAAAATGGAATTTTATATATATTGTTAAAATTAATGAACACTGTAGTTAATCTTACTAGTTTTAATAATATTCATCTTTTTCTTTATGTATATATTGATCAAATTCCATTTTAAGTGGAAGTATACTTCCCACTAACAGTTAATGGCAAGTATTGTACCCCGTATTTTTCAATATCAGGACAACTATTAAATAGAATTTAATACTTCAAAAACTGCCTAACATTGTTATTTTTTTGATGAACAAGTTTTTTGATGAATTCGGTTGTTTTCAAAAATAAGTGCTTTTTGATTAGGGTGGTATTGCACAAAAAAATTGTAAAATGTCTTTGAACAAAGAATGCCTTTTTTCTAAATAATACTTATAGATGGTGCTTTAAGCTTATTTGGTAATGTGGATGCAAGAGATATTTCAAGAGCATGAAACTATAAGTAACTGAGATTTAAAGATTATGTGGATTAGAGCAGTATTGAACCAAACTCCTCAAATATATAGTATCTTCATTTTTCTAAAATAAAATTACAATAATTTAATGATAAATTTAAAAACTGATGTTTTAACAAACTTTTTTTCTGCTTTTAAAGTAATTAAGGATAAAAAAAATCATTTAACAATTTTAAAGTAAACACATTTAATACAATTTAAAAAATCCTATTTAAATTTTAAAAAATGCCAGCCCTAATCCCTTTTCCCTTCTCTTTTTGGGCACACATTCTGCAGTTGGTGTTTTGGAAGTTTTCATGTATGGTGCACTTGCAATATGCCCTTGTTGCTATTACCTGAACTTGAATCACAAATATGAAGGTCTTTTGGTTGTTCTTAATTGGATGTTGTCTCTGTGACATGCCTCACTTTTTGGGTGTTTTTTAACCTCTTTACAAGTGCAGCAAGCCTTTGTTTTTGACTGTCCAGAGCCGTGTCCAGTTCAGTGTTCCCCTGGTTCTTCACGTGTTCAAGATAATTTCACCACTTCTACTTACTTTAACAGGAGCATTCAGTTCTGTGTATTGGGACAGAACACCAGTGACTTCTGATCTGGTGAATTTTCGAGTATAGAATTCATTCCCCTGGTTGAGGGTTGGGTTCTTCCTTATTGACTTGTACTGCTGACATGTTGCCTGTTTAAAATGATAACTTGCCTCAACATACATCAAGGTATGCAGGTTTTCTAGTGAATTTATATCTTTTACCAGACATGTTATTGTGTGGTTGACATGGCTGCTGATGATTTTAATATCTGGTTTAAAGATAATTTTTTGTGAGCTTAGATTTTAATGTAGAACGAATTCTTCCATAATTCATTCTGTTTGTTTCAAAGATGTTTTCCCGTTTCTATCTGTGATGTGGTTGTTGTTATTTAAATTGTAGATGATTAATTTTGTGCTATTGTTAAAATTATAATTCTCTCCCCTCCCCTCTGGCTACCCACCTTTTCCCACTTGCATGACTGTCAGCGCAAATTTATTTTTTGCACACTTCAAATTTGTAAAGCAAATATAGTTCATTTTGTCTTCAGGCAAAATCTGACAAATTAGCAACAAATTTTCATGCTTTGATTTTATTTAATTTTTCTTTTTATTCTGTGAAATACTTGACAAATGTTATAAATGAAAAATGGAAACAGAAAATTGGATCCAGTGAATGAATGGTGACTGAGTGGTCGTCATGATATAGGATTTTCTGATGTGATAAATTATATTTTCTTAGGTTATTTAAATCAACTTAATGTGAGTCAATTTATCTTTGGTGTAAAACCATCAAATTTGAAATAGGTTAAGCATTCACTAAATTGAAGTGAATTCTGGAATTAATTCACTTTAATGTTGGTCTACACACAATTTTGTGTGAATAGTGTGTACATGTGATCCTTTGTTATTATTTGCGTAGGGTGGCCTAAAATTCATTTTCAAGTTTATCATCAAGATAGATTTGGCCGTTGTGAGATCTACGGATATGGCTTCATCCATGTTCCCACTACTCCAGGCAATCACGTACTAGAGTGCGTTACTTGGAGACCAGTTGGTGAGTTGCATGTTTGTATGTAAATTAAATCAGTGGCTTGGTGCAAGAAGGGCCTATGTCAATATTCAACATTTTACAGGATGGATGGTTTTCTTACACCATTGAAATGACAACAATTGTAGGCCAATGTAAATGAATTTGAAATTACGAGATATGATCGACTTTGGACTTTGGCACTTCTTGTATTGGAAGAAAAGGCTTTAAAGCACACATTGGCATACAAACCGAAAATCACTAAAAACTTACACTTACACCTTTTTCCACCAAGACACAGAAATAATAAATACTTGAACATATTTCTAACTGTGGGTGACTTTTTCTTTGGGAAAAATCATTCATTGTAGCATTGAGTTGATTTTTGCTTAGGAATGGTGAAAAGTGTTAAACTGCTTTTCTAATCAGAAAGTCATGTCAAATGATTGTTGTGAAACATTTTTAAATTAACTCATAAATTTCAAGAAAATTATACACTATGTTATCAAAAGTGTTCGAACACACAGATGAAAATTACTTACCAGTTCGTGACGCCCTCGAGCAGTAATGCTGGAATTAAATAGGATGTTGGGCCACCCTTAGCCTAAATGACAGCTTCCACTCTCGCAACCATTCTTTCAATCAGGTGCTGGAAGGTTTCTTGGGGAATGGCAGCCCATTCTTCATGGAGTGCTTCACTGAGGAGAGGTATCTATGTAGGTCAGAGAGGCCTGACATGAAGTCAGCATTCCTAAGCATCCCAGAGGTGTTCGATAGGATTCAAGTGAGGACTCCATGCAGGCCAGTCCATTATAGAAATGTTATTGTCGTGTAACCATTCCGCCTCAGGCCGTGCAATATGGACTGGTGCTCGATTATGTTGAAAGATGGAATCGCCATCTCCGAATTGCTTTTCAACAGTGGGAAGCAAGAAGGTGTCTTAACACATCAATGTATGTAGGCCTGTGCCGTAATAGTGCTACACAAAACAACAAGGATTGCAAGCCCCCTCTGAGTAAAAATGATTGCATTATAACACCATTTTGGACATGTCTGGATATTTGTGATCACATAGTGTTTGTAATTAGTACTTAATTGTGTATTGGGACCCTAGTAGAAGATAAGCCACCCAAGAGCCATAACATTATTTGCGAACTAAAGTTGTGGTACATTGTGTTTGCAAACAAAAACAATGGTAATTTTGACCCATTAGGAGTTGCTGTGGCGGCGGTGGTGTAACGGTTAGCGTACTGGACTGTTGTACCCAAGTTAGCGGGTTCAAACCCGATCGAAGCCGTGGATTTTTAAAAGGGCGAAAAAATCCTTCGTACGGCTTTCTTCGGAGGGGAAGTAAAGCCGGCTGTCCCATGTTCGTAGATTTACTTGCATGTAAAAGATCCTCAAGCCTAAATGACGCCTCTGAGCTAAATTCAAATCGCCTGTTTCTCGCCCAAGAAATACCTCCTTTCTCTCCTAGTTGGTGAAAGGAGCGTAGCGAAATTTGCGTGGTCAGACGGAAGAGCAGGCCTGATGGCCCGAGTCTCGCCACGTAAAATAAGGCAAATTCAATTCAATTCAATTCAATTCAAATACAAATTCTTCTCCATCTTTTGAAGGGAGTGAAACATACTTAGATCTATTGTGCATAGAGAATACAATTAATGTGATTTATTTACATTGATGTTTCTAAGAAAAACAATATTGAAAAAATGAATTTTTTTCTTTATATTTACAAAATTGTATTGATGCAATGAAGCAATTTCAATTTTTTGATACTGTGAAAGAATGTGGAATTGCATGTATTTGTTGCTAGATCTTTCTGAATAATATGAATAATAGAAATTTGTTTTCAAAATACAAGTTTGGAATTTGTCAATTTCAGAGAGTAGACAGAATAGGAAATTAGTTACTTCAGTGGTAGAGGACTTGACATTCCACCGTATGTTTTTATTTTTGGTTTTGTTTGCACAATAGTTCAAAAATTTTTGTCATAGATTCAAAATTGGTACTCTTCGTGTGTCATTTTGTCAGCTCAAATTGTTGTGGCATAGTCTACATTTCCCCAGACCATACTCTTTAATTATGAGGCTGTTTTTGAAATTAAAGGCCAAAGTTATTGTGCTCATTCCTTTGTCAGTGTGGACTGACAGTGGGGCAGTGGAAGCTGCGAAGCAGACAATCTAATCTCCCATTCCAGAAATAATTTTCCAAAAGGAAATTCTGAGTGAAAACTCAACTAAGAAGCCTCCTTAAGCACATCACTTGCAACACCAGGGAGAACATTAAAGTGTTCACTTGGAGGCACTTCAGAATTTCCTTATAGAGAATTATTTCTGGAACGGGAGATAAGGTTGTCTGCCTCGAGGTTTCAACTGCCCCATTGTCAGTCCACGCTGTCAAAGGAATGAGCGCAACAACTATGGCATTTAATTTCGAAAACAGTCTCAGAATTAAAGAGTATGGTCTGTGGAAATGTAGACTATGCCATACTTTTTCCTTGTACTTTTCTTCAGTGTCTTGAGCCTTCATCTCCTCTTCTGTCGTGCTGCACCACTGGTTGTGTTATAAATATGAATTGTCAAGTTGTTTGTGTAACTGACTGAATTCCTAAATTTTCAGGTTCAATGCGAGATCAGATCAATCAGTTCTTTTTAGGCGGTGGTCCTCAGTTGAAGAATCCAGATGTTGTTTACTCAGGGCAAGACCGTTACAGACTTCAGACTGAAACAATGGGTGTTATTCATCTGGAATTGAATGTTATTTTACGCAATTTTCACAAATTTGGTGTAGAATATTAATACAGAAGCTACCAGTTGAAAATTTTTTAATCTACGATGACATTTTTAAAGAGAAGAGTATTTATACTTCTGATGTGTATTGTTTACACTTTGTCTGAAGATATTCTTAGTTCTCATACAGAAAACCCTCTTTCTATATCAGTATGTAATAATGATACTGAAAATGGACATTGTGAAACAATAACTACACACCCAAGTATAGAAAATAGTACAGAGTTTAATAGTTCATCTACCACTGAAGAGATTGCAAATTCTACCGTCACACAAGAAATTGAAGAGAACCAGAACATTTCCACAGAGGTGGCCGAGACTACAACTCTCCCTCCCTCTTCAGTGCCTTCAACCCTTTCTACTCCCCCCACCCCAGAGAGAGCTACCGCAGAGCCTTCGTACGGCATGCACTTCATTCCTGAGGATATATGCTCATGTGACATAACCGTGAGTATTGAAACCTTATGCAAAAGTTTGGATATTAGACATATTTTTTAAAAGTTACAAGAACATCTGGTAATACCTTGCGGAACACAGCAGCAGTAGTATGGTGACTAAAATGTTGATAGCCACGCCTAGGCTACAGCATCTCCCGTGAAAACAAAAATCTACTAAAAATGTGTTTACTTCAAAATATCTGGCTGTGAGCAACCCAAGTGCTTAAAACATACACAGGATTTTCACCAAAAGGGACATTGACACAAAAAGGGCGCTGAACTTTTGAATTCCCTTCCCTTTCCTTCCCTTTCCTTCCCTTTCCTTCCCTTTCCTTCCCTTTCCTTCCCTTTCCTTGCCGCGGCCGGAAGGAACTTTCCAGAGCGTGGCGGCTAAGGCTTCAAGATGCCAAACCCCCGATTTGAGATCGTAGGGCAAAATGTAGCAGATCAGGACCGCTATGCTACAGGGCAGTCTCTGGCACCGGAATCTTGATTCTTGGCAGCAAGCATACTAATGCATGATACTGAGAGACGCGGGAATTTCCCCGCTGTCGTGGAGCAAGCAGACAGCTAGAGTCCCTTCTATCACGAAAGGCGGCGAATAACGGCCACCCTACTGACCGCGGCAGGCCTATCGGCTCAATTATTGCCTTACTGGACATAGGCAGTGGGCAACTGATTGGAGCGGAGATTATTCTGCATTATTGAGTGCATTTAGAGGGGCTCAAAGGATTGTGTGATAATCGTACGGCTTTTAGAAAAAGCCGAGCGAAGATCCACGGTAGATGCTAATTAAAGGGCTAGTCATCGAGCATCCTCGCGCAGCTGCGCTTTTCACAAGCGCCATTGAAGGCAAACGATGGAAAGGCCGGTGTCCTATGAAGTTTTGTAGCGATAAAGTGAACCCCTTAGAGCGTGAAAAAAACGCCTTTAACATTGCAAGATGGGCAGCTCCATTCTTTCTAGCGCTACAAACTCTGGGAGTTCCAAGGTAAATCATCGAACTCTGGGTAAAAAGTACTTTAAGGAGACGGAGTCCCCTCCTATATGAAACTGGTCTGTCTGGGCAGTACACAATCTTGATACGGGTTCACCAGGCGGTTGTCCCACAAGGGTTCGGGTACTTGGTCACGATGTTGTGGGAACATATGTATGACGCCAGCGTGTTGAAGCTCGATTGTTCCGGAAGGCGCAAGGAACTATTGGCATTCACGCTGACAGATAGTTTTGCCACATTTTGGTGTTACTTCGGCAAATACATCGAGGCCAAGTACACGCAGAGTTGCCAAACGACGGGCTGTTGGCGGAGATCGCCGGTGGTTACGTCGGTTTGGCTACAGGGTGCCGCCATAAACATGAAGGCTGTGATGCGGCGTTGACCGGATGCAAAAGTGATCCGAGCAGAGTATTACTCTTATTGTAGGAGGGCTGACAAAAATTATCCTCCGTAGGCTGATCATGAAAGGTAATTTGTGAGATGGTATTGACAGGCGAAGACTGCCGCTTTGACGACACGGCTGCCCGCATGTCTCCGAGAAAGCGCATTCTTGTATATGGATCCGCATTGGCACGCGATTTTTATTGCCTATGTTAGGGGCGTCCTGGCAAAGAGCGGAGGCGGCTGACTGACCGTAGTAAAATTCCTTCTACTATACGCCAAGCCCGCTGTTTTGGCGCTGAATGCCCAATGAGCTTCAGTCATACGCCCGTTGGGCTAAGTCGGTTGCAAGTAGAAGGGTCCGCCTTGCGAGGTTTGCCTCAGCAGTTTCGCACGTATCCATATGATGCTGTGTCAGATGTAGTTAGCAGATATGGCCTCCGATCGACCTCATTGGCGGGCAGAGAGAGCTTAGACTCTATTGAATTTGGCAAGCGGGAGGGGGCCTCAAACTGGAATATCATTGATCGGAAAGATGGAGAGGGGAACGAAGGTGACAATGGACCGAAATGGCAACGCGGACGCCTGGCTAGCATCATCATCCCTCCTCAACTTGGCGGCTAAAACCAGGCAAGCGGCAGAGCAGGCGTGGACATTTCGGGGTCATTTCCCGACATCTGACGTGGATGGATTCAAAGGGGGAACATGCGAAATTTAGCTTTTTATCTAACTCAGATTGCTGACAGGCATGCGAATGTTACCGGGCAGTTCAGCTCCGAATTCCGGCTCTGGACGATAGCTATCTCGCCCAAGGTGTTTCCGGGCGCGAGTTTATTGAAAAGATGTCTCAGAAAACAACAGCTGTTCTCTTCAATTTGTCCGCTTCACGGTTGGGAAGAAAGGAAGAGGATTTTGGAAAGGATGAAGAACTTCACAGGGGGGACTCCTCCAAGAAAAATGAAGTGACCCCTCGGAGACCATCGGTCACGTAGGATTGCTGCTGACACAGAAATTGGCAGCGTGCGCGTACGCACCCCTATTGCCGCAACACGGTCCTGCCGAAGACGCTCCGCTCCGAGGAGCGACGTTACGACAGGAGAGACTCCCGTTTATAAACATATTTCGGTGACGTCTCCGCGGAAAAGCCCAATCCTTTCCTTCTCGCAGATGCGAATGCCTGACGGCGGTTCCGCGGACGGAATTAGGCCAGGGGGGGAAAGGGAGACCGGTTTATGTGGGTAGGCACTAGGCGTACGCTAATGAATCCCACCACGCAGCAGGTAGCCTTGCGGGCCCCGCATGTTTCTTATAGAAGAATTTTCCCCTGCCCACGTAAAAAAACAAAAACAAAAAAAAAAAAAAAAACCCCTACAACCCACAACACCCACAACCCCACCACCCACCCCACACACACACCCACACACCCCACACCACACACAACCCCCCCCCCACAAACACACCACACCCCCCCCCCACACACACACACACCACCCCAAACACCACCCCCCCACACACCACACCACACACCCCAACACACACCCACACCCACACACACCCCCACACCACCCCCACACACCACAACCCCCACACAATGGTTGCGTGTGTGCCATGTGTATAAAATGAGAACAGAGAAATTCTTCGTAATTTAAAGAAACAGTGGCTCCACTACCAAAAGTTCTGGGCAAGCCAAACTTGTGAATGTTTCACGTGAACCAAGGAAGGAACCCTCAAATTACATTCGTTAACATACCCAAACAGCTCATGTGTTTTTTTTTTCATCAAGAAGGTGAGTTTTGAATATTATTTTATTTTTCATTTATTTCTCATGTTTTATGCCGGGAGCATCTTTTAAAGCTTACTAAGAGATTCACTTTTATTGACATTTCTATTTTTGGTCTTCCACAATACCACCCCTTGTACTGGTCGCTTAACAATATAATTTAAAAAATTATAACTAAAATTTTTTTGTCCATTATAATCTTTACATCTTTCTACATAACAACAACCCGATAATGCAACTTACCTTTCTTTTTTAGAAAAACTATATTGTCTTACCTGAAGGCTCAGAGTTTGTCACCCAAAGATTACAAGAACAATACCTCTTTATTTTGAACGCATTTTTTTTGTATTCAGCTAGTTTATTGCGCACTCGTGTACACAAAATGTTGTTTGGATAGACAATTCTGGCGCATTCTGCAAGCCAATGCGATGGTTTTGAAAACAATGCGCTCCGGAAAGCTTTGCCTGGTACTTACTTAGGACCCACCGAAACAAATCTTCATCACAACACAACTTGTGAGTGGATCCACAAATTAGTCTTACCTGCCAACAAATGGAACAAAGTCAATATTATAATCACTGACACTGAACAACAAGAAAGAGGAAAAGAGAAAAAGAAAACAAAACTAAGTGTTGGTTCGTGCCAAACAAACACCCACATATACGTTCGCACTATTTTTTTGTACACGCCTTATTCTAATCACTAAAAAATCTACTTGAAACCCATGAAACTTTTTTTACTCAACCACTGGTGATATTTTTGAAGAATAATTCATTACTTAGGTTTTATTAAAGCTACGAGAGGTCTAATTTCTCTACACTAAAAGGTTGCTCCGTTTTCATGAACACACCTATCCATTGACCTGAAAAAGAATAAAGTGGACCGGTCGTAACGCAGGTTTTTAAAAAAAAAAAAAAAGAGGGGTTAACGAAATTATTGAAACAGTTTTATTTTGACGACATGCATTTGCTTTATCAGGAAGGGTGGGAAAGAAAAAAAAAAAAAAAAGACCACCTTCCTTTGATTTAGTCTGTTAGGGAACACTCCAAAAAATTTTAAAATTTGATTATTGATATGAAGATCCCCAGTACCTGCACCATTTTTTATAACCGTAGTTTTCCTCTGAACCGGAAAAGAATAAGAAAGAAAAAAAGAAGAGAAAAGAAAAAAAGGAAAAGAGAAAAAGAAAGAAAAGGGAAAAAAGAAAAGGAAAAGAAAAAAAAGACGAAAGAAAAGAAAAAAAAAAGAAAAAGGAAAAAAAGGAAAGAAAAAGAAAAGAAAAAAAGAGAAAAAAGAGAAAAAAAAAAAAGACAAAAAGAGCCAACCAAAGTGCGGGATGCTAAGAAGAAAAAAGGGAGGGCGGAGGGAAAATCCAAAAAAGAGAGGAAAGAAAAAGAAAAGAGAAAGAAAAGAAAATAAAAAAAGAAAGAAAAGGAGAAAAGGACAAAACATAAAAAGAAAAAACAAAGACCGAAAAGCAAAGGAAAAAGAAAGGAGGCAAAAAGGGGAAAAGAAAATAAAGAAAAAAACAGAAAAAAAAAAAAAACATAAAAGGAAGAAATAGAAAGAAAGAGCAAAGAAAGAAGAAAGAAAAAAAGAGAGAAAGAGAAGAAAGAAGAAGAAAAGAAAGAAAGAGGAGAAAAAAAAAAGAAAGAAAGAAAAGAGAGAAAAAGAAAGAGACAGATAAGAACCGAGAGAAAGAAAAAGAAAGAAGAAAGAAAGAAGAGAGAAAAGAGGTCGAAAGCGAAGAGAGAGCAGTAGGAAGGAAATAAGAGAAAAAGGACAAAGAAAAAGAGGAGGAGTAGGGAAATAGAAGAGAGTGCAGAAGAGAAAGAGGGATGAGAAAAGAAGAGAAAGAGAAGAGAAGAGAAGGGTAACAGAAAAAGAAGAGAAAGAAAGGAGAAGAAAGGGAAAAGAAAGGGAAGAAAGAAAAATGAAAAAAAGAGAACGAAAAGAAAGGAAAGAAAAGATAGAAAGGAAAAAAGAAAAAGGAAAAAGAGAAGAGAAAGAAAAGAGAAGAAAGGGAAGAAGGAAAGAAAAGAGAAAGAGAAGAAGAAAGAAAGAAGAAAAGAGAAGAGAAGAAAGAAAGAAAGAAGAAGAAAGAAAGAGAAAGGAAGAAAGAAAAGAAGAAAGGGCAAAAAGAAAAGAAAAGAAAGAAAGAAGAAGAAAAGAAAGAAGAAAAGAAAGAAACAAAAAGAAGAAAGAAGAAAGAAAGAAAGGAAAAAAGAAAGAAAAGAAAAAAAAGAAGAGAGAGAAGGAAAGAGAGAGAGAGAAGGGAGAGGAGGGGAAGAGAAGGAAAGGGAAGAAAGGAGAAGGAAAGAGAAGGAAGAGAAGGAAGAGAAGGAAGAGAAGGAAAAGAGAAGGAAAAAGAGAAGGAAAGAAGAAGGAAGACGG